CGTATCGTTACGCGCGGAGTCACTGTCTGGGAGCTACTGTCGGTGGTGCCTCCTCGTTGCCTTCCACTTCGTCGCCGTCGCCCCCGCTCCGAGGAATCGCCAGCCAGGACCGGACCTATCCGCGATGCCCTCCTCGTTCCTTCCCTCTCTGCGCTCTCTCGCCGGCAATGCAATTATATTTTATTCACTTGCGATTCTTCTTTGTTTCTGATTTCCCCCCACCCCCCTCCCCTCCTCTGTTTTTAGGTTTCCAGCTACTGGTCATTCGAGAAGACTTTCGATAGGCTTGAATGTCGTGAGAAAGAAGAGGTGCGAACATTGACGGGAAATTCGGCGAGAAAAACCGAAATTTATCCTTGAACTATCTTTGAACGGCGCGATAGATCTTATAACCCTAACGCTGGCTATTTCGGCCTGTGTCAGTTTAGTTTGGCGTAGGCAAAACTGATTTAAATTTTAAATCTAGATAAAACACTCGGGCGAAAGAGACAGCAAAGTTTCGTTTAACGCGAAGGTTGGTTTTTCGCTCGTGACATCGAGTTAAAAATAACGTCGCAGTAATATACAAGTTGGCAATCAAACTCGACATTTTTGTTTTGTTCTCTCCTCTTTTTTTTTCTTTTTCTTTTTTTTGTGTGCGTGTATGTGCCATACGTTGGTTCGTCTAGATCCCAGATAACCTCATCTCTGATGACGAGTGAAATTTCACATTGAAATTTTTCCAACGTTCGGGATAGATATTATTATTATACACTTGCAAAACGTATATATGTATATATATATATATATATATATATATATATATATATACATATATACGTAGATATAACCGCGTCGCAGGTTATTTATAAATTTAAACGTGTGCTTCCACGTTTTCGACGCTCCGATCCTCCAAATTCTCCGCGCCCCCCAGACAGTTTTCGATATTCGATCGATCGAATCGCTCAGAAGTTACAATATGCGCTGATTTATTCAACGACGAGTCGCACTCGATTTCCTTGCTCGAAAGCCACGTAGTACGTGTGCCTCTGTACCGCCCACACATTCCAAAATGTTTCTCAATAACTTTTTTTTTTTTTTTTAAACCCCTCCCGAGATATCAATATCCGCGTTGCCTTACGCAAGCCCCGCGATATCCACTTGTCGAGTAAATGTAAATGTAAATCAGATTATCGTCAACTCATGAGTGAGAGAGAGAGAAAGGCGAGACTTGCGTTATTAATACAGATAAATTAAGCGGCGATACGAGTCGAAATACAGGGCGACAGGAGACACGGCGCCGGCACTAGAGCGTTCTTACCCCTTACCCCGAGATAGCCAGCTCGCGACCGGAGCACCGACCATGAAGAGAGACCGAAAGCGAACGACAAACGAGGACAAACGCAGAGGAAGAGAATGGGATAATATCAATGTGTGTGTGTGTGTGTGTGTGTGTGTGTGTGTATGCGTGTGCGCGCGTATGTGTGGTGTGTATACACGGGTATACAGAGTGTACCGAAGGTAACTTCGATTACAATGGTATCAATGATTTTACCGTTTGTGAAAAACAGAGGTGGAGGGGGGGGGAGGGAAATGCTGTCGATTAAGACTGTCGCGTTATCGACAATTTCTGTCGTTTAATATTCCATTTAATATCCGATAATACCAGCCGCGCTCGCGATATTCCCAACATCTGCAATCGGCGAGTGACAAATTAGCACAAGGTCGCGGCCGACTGATTCGAGCGTTAAACTCTTTTGTCGATTCTGTATGTACGGAGAGTCACGCGTTGTTGTCATTCCCGATTTTTCTTTTTCTTTCTCTCTCTCTTTCTTTTTTCTTTTTTACAGGGTTCGAAACTTGGCGGTTGTTGCGCAAAAAGAAGAGGAGAAAAAAGGGGGAGAGAGAGAGAGAGAGAGAGAGAGAGAGAGAAAGAGAGAGAGAGAGAGAAAGGATATAAAACGCGGAGCGTCGGTATTTTCTGAACGAGAGATTTACCCGTGTCCCCGACGAGGAACTAGTTTTCGATAAACGAGCACCTCCTCGTTAAGTGGCTCCACGAAGGGGGCCGAAATCGTACTCACCCTATATCCCGGAGAGCATTTGCGGGATAGAGAAAGAGAGAGAGAACCGAGAAGTCAGAGAGAGAGAGAGAGAGAGAGAGAGAGAGAACCGAGAAGTCAGAGAGAGAGAGAAAGAGAGAGAACCACGTATCAAGTGGGGAAGCGAGAGAAGAGAGTGTGACAGAGAGAGAGAAATATTTTTATTAAAAGAAGGGAGGCGACTTAATGGAGGGAGAGAGACAGATTCGCGGCGCAGTACACCGTGTCGGATGCTGATGCTGCATTAAGCCCCGTTTGCACTTCCGCCCTTCCATTCGCATGGTTCCATCCTTTTCATATTGCTCCCTTCGCACCGCCGTGCACCAATTGTTTTCCATGGTTTTAATTTCATGTAATATTCCTGACAATTCCACTGAAAATTATTGCGGCTTCGCAGGCTACCTTTGTCGACTTTTTTTTTTTATCTCTATGACGCTGAACTTCAACGTGGTTATAATTCACTGTTCGTACATGTATAGGAATGAAATGCAATTTTTCAAAATCACTGTGGTTTCAAGAAAATTGTTTTTGTTCACGATCTTTCTGCGATATCTCAGTTATTATTAATGGTATGAAAACAGTGATAAATAGATCAATTTTTTTTGACTCTTTTGAAGTTTTCTTATTCTCGTAGTTTTTTTTTTTTAAACATTATACTTTCCGCCTGACAAAGGGGCTTGAAAAGGGCTTAGAAAAATAAGTTTGTCATTAACCGTGCCGATCTCATCATTCAATTTGAAATTAGCTCAATTCGAACGTATCGAAACTGTTGTGAATAAATACTAGTCAAAGATTGTATACAACATAAAAACATGTTCACATTTGTTATCATTGAATATGTTGAAACCTCGGTGATCGTAAAGTAATGCAATGTACAAAAAAGTAATGATGTAGTGAGCGTCAATGTTTGTTTTTTTTTTCTTAATTCACACTGTGCTTTGAATAGTAATACTTGACTCGAATAGTAATCTTCACGAGTTAATAAACGAACTTTTTGTAACGAATATCATTTTGAATACATGTTAACATACATAAGTAAAATAATAATTTCGTGAAAATGCATTATCGATAAGAATATCTCTCCAACATGCATTTAACGAATTTCCTATCTTTAACGATAATGAAAAACGATAATGGAGAACTATTTCTTCACATTGCGTGCATTATATGGAAACAGTTTTGGCACGTTCAAAATATGTCAATTTAATTATGTTTAAATTAAATGATAAGATCAATGAATTTGTTTTTTTAACACAACAACTATAACAAAAGAGAAACTACAAGAATGAGTTACGAAAGATCACGATGGAATGACGTTCACACTGCAATACGTTCCACAAAATCAAACAATTTATCTTTCTCATATCATTGGTAACAAACACAAGATGTCATATTGATATTTTAGCAAAATACTGAGACACCCTGTATATATACATATGTACATCTGTGTTTGAAAAAAGGTACACAACGGAATTCACAATGCCGAGGCTTCATTCTCGTTGAAGAACTATCGACATACAACGTTACGAGGAGGAGTCTGCGCGTCTAAGGACGTAGTCATAAAAGAAATCCTTCCAAATGGATTATACTATCGACTCGGCAGTGTTGCATCGCAATGCGAATGATAACCTAACGATTTGCAGTTTCGGCCCGCTGATATGCAAATACAATCTTATTCAACCTGACCGAGGAAGTACGTTCACGAGTCACGACTAGGAAACTACGGGCTGTATTTTGTCGAGTGAACTTTCAGTGTTCCTCGGATATTCGCTCGCCGACTTGAGGCAAACAGGAGGTGTACCAGTAAGGTCACGTGATGGACTTCGTCCAGGACGAGACGAGGGAGAATACATAGAAGGTAGACGTCACTGACCGTGAACGCACGCGAGACTCGCGACAATTTTGTCGACGACGCGACATAGCAGGAACACCGTGCATCGGCAGATAAAGCGGAAGAATGCGGCCTCGAATGATGAACCATCGTTTCAAGGGAAAAGGCGCCTTCTCCGCCATTTCCTGATCGTCCCTTTCGACTCGGTGGTTGAGACGGCCGGCCCGCGGATACTATATTTCGTCGCGTACGATCAATAGTTGTACGCTTTGTACGATGAAATATCACACTTTCCTAGCGGATCGTTCGTTTATCTGAAAGTATTTTCAAACATCATTAGTGGATAGATTGTACTTTCGTTCGAAAAAGAAAATCAATGTCTCTACCCTCACTCGAGCGTTATTGCTGTTGGTAACAACTGCATCACATGAATGGCTTCCGTCAGACAATCCGGGGGAGTGTTCACTTGACGAAATATTGTGAAAGTGGATTTCGATCACTGGATACAGCGACTTGGAATGATTGATTATCATCCTGATTCCTTGTTCCTAAGTTTTAGCCGAGTTCTGTTAAAAAATTAGAATACAGTAGCAAATTTGTCGAATGGCTCAAGTCGTTTCAATTTCACGCGATTAAATGTTTACCTGTACATATTTACTTTCCAGCAGCTAATTTTGCGATACGTTGTAAAATTTTGAAATAATAAAACTGTGTGAACAGCAAATAGCACATGACATGTATATTTACGTGAATTTCATAATTATCCATTTCTTCGATACAAGTGTCATTTGTTGAAAAACAAATAATAATATAAACTAAACAAGATACAAGAAAACAAACGTAAGAGATTCGAGACCTTTGATACAGTTTTTTTGTTACGATAAGCCCAATTTTACAGATAGAAATCTGTGTTATCGGCTGGATGAAGCTCGAGATTCACGCCATTTGTTACCAGAGAGCACAGTGATTCTTCGTTATCGGTCTGTTTTAAATAAAGTTAAAAATGTAATTCTTCTCGGTCGTTTGATTGAAAATAATATGTTCTTAACCGACGAGTTAAAATGTTTAACTTGTATTTAACTTGTCCCAAAGTTATTTGTAAACTTATCGAAAGACAGATACGAGCTAATGCCTATCTAGGCTAATACCTAGACTGTAGTTAAATTCATCGATGCATTTTGCAAATACTTTTGTAATTCGCGAAACATTTTAATAACAACCATTAATAGTAATAATTATTACTATTATACAAACAGATGTAGCGATTAGAACAAATCTTGAAAATGACATCCAACAAAGAAAAACGTTTGTACTTACACACGATATCTTTCCTCACTTCATAGGTTATGATTTGCTTTTTTTCACGACAAATAGAGACACAATGAGAAAAATGGCAGGTAAATAATTTCGGCTCTTTGAGAACATTTGTCATTGCCGATTTGTTGCGAAATTATTCCAAAATGATTGCATCATCGAAGCCTAGTTCAAACACAAAATAAACAGTGAATTTAAATTTCAGAATCGCAATCGACAGTCAACTGACAAAGCTATGTTATTATTAAGTAATTCTCACGTGTATCTGATCATCGTGTTTCACATCGCTACAGGTGGTCTGGTAAAACCCTCTTCCAGATTTGGCACGCTCACACGCATTCCGATACGTCATCGGGTTTTCTTTGGCTCGTTTCATTCTCTCGCCCGATCCTATTGATTCTAGCATAACATAAACCAATCAACTGCTCACCGATCGTTGCGTCAATCGCTAAATTTGAATTCTCATTTCGACTTCGTAGAAGCTCGACGTTTCGAACGCCAACGGTTCAACTGCCCGAGTCGAGTCGAGTCGAGTCGAGTCGGAACGCTGTGAAATTGGCGGGAATAGCACGCGCGCGAAAATTTGAATTTCAGCCACGCTATTCCTCACACTGTATGACGTTCGGTGCGATTTCGCTGAAACTATTCTCAAAACTATTCGTCTACACCACGAATCGATATTATCGCGCGGTTAATAAAAGACGAGTGCTAGTGACTGGCGTTTATTTTTAGACTGGAGAATCTTTTTTCGGGTAACCGGCGGCTCGCACGTGTCTTTCACTTCCAATTTCATACATTTCTCGTCCGAGCGTAATTTATAAATACGACGTTAGTCAGTGTTATTTCCTTTTCGTTTTACAGGTTCCGTGCGAAACCTGTTCCCTCGTGCAAAATCTGTTTTATCACTGCGCGCGCGTGCGTTCAACTTTCTCCTCAACACTCAACGTTGACGTCAGAAATTGTTTTTTTCAAGGAAATATGTAAAATCGACGAATCGCGTGTATATATATACACTTGTGCACGGAATTTAATTTCCATTACTCGACGCTCCTCGTCTACAATCATGGTCGGACAATAACTGTTGAAAAGTCAAGAGTCATTCGGTGTTCTTGAGTCGTAACACTGTCCGACATCGAGTGTCGCTCTTCAAAGATTTCACGTTCTTAGATATATGTACTTGTGCGGTTGAACTTGTTAAAACTTTTTGTTCAAAAGCATCCTAAAATAAAGATACACAAGGGAAGAAAAGAAATTTATTATCTAAAGACGATAATGTTTATATACTTTATCTACTACAAGATAACATTGCAGGCTACGTATATATATATATATTGTAATGATTATATCATATTGTAATTCCTGTGAACTTGTATTAAATTTATGTGCATTTAATACGCGTGATTCGTAACGTCCATTAAAATCGAGAAAGTAGACTCGTGAATTTTTGAACTATCAAGCCGATCAACTCTAATCGATCTCGGTTTCTCTCGAAATTTATCGCTATGGCCTACATTGCGTTAAAGATTAGATCGTGATCGCGTTTCCTGGTTGGGCCTTCGTACTGTCCTTATCCTGAAATTAATAATTAATAAACGATAACAAACTAATCCAAGGGAATTACACAGAGGAAAATGATTTGCACGATTTGAATTACGCGACTGATCGCATGTCGTACACCACGAAATAAATATTCTCACGAAAGTTTCCCAGAAATGAGAAATGTTTCAAAGGTGACGTGTGCTTTTCTATTGCTGTGCAAATTAGATTTAATTTACAGCTACATCCCTCGATTCCGCAAGCTCGCGTAACGCGAGCACACACGGATACGCAGAAGCCGCGAAACTTGCATTTCGCGGAATGATATTTGTAACGAAGTTCAAAATTGGAGTTCCTCCGTGCCGAAGCCACTACACTTGCAACTGATTGTAACTCACACGCCTACGTCATCTCATCGGCGATAATAGAAAAATTTCCTTGATATTGCGTCACATATCCCGATATCATTCCGAGGTATTCTCAATAAACGTAGACAGGGAGGCTGACGGATATCGCGAATTCATTGAATTTCGCGGATGATTTCCGCCTCGCATATTTCCTTACGTTCCGCGAAATTTCGGCCAACAGCGAACAAAGGGGAAAAAATGCTGTTTCAAGCGACAGTCTTCATTCTGATTCAACTGTCCGCTACGCTCGTTCCTAATTTCATTAGTTCATTGCTACACTGCTACACTTTGGCTCGCGAAAATACGACGAAGAAACTCGTGAAACTCAACATTTCTTTATATATATATATATATATATATATATATATATATATATATATAAAAGTTCTATTCACGAGTTTACATTGCTCTTTGAGAATAGGACAGTACGTTTGCTTTGGGGAATGGAGTTTTTAACTTGTACTGTAACGGAGATACTGCTGCCTTATCAATTTCGATCGATTTTTTTCCGTTTGATTATCGATCCGATATTTCCTGTGTGTAACTTTGACGAAAAAAAGTTTCAACTGTGATTAGAAAAGATGATAAAAAAAATATCGTGGTAGCTGGTAGTATTATAATACAAACAGACGATTTCGATAGAGATGATTCTAAAAATTTGGCCATTAATTTGTATAGTAAGTATGCACTGTCTCACTTGTATAGTGAGAGGCCATCTGTCCAAAAAAAAGTGGAGACACAGTATCCACTTTATTTTTTATTGAAATAAAGAAGTTCTTTAAAGAAAGAGAAAACGGAATAAAAATTTCGTTCTTTTGAAAAGAATTTTTGCACTTCTGTAAAATAAACGTAAGTAAAAATAAAATTTTGTGAAATAAAAGTAAATTTCTAGTAAAATTCTGTAAAATAAACGTAAATAAAAATAAAATTTTGTGAAATAAAAGTAAATTTCTAGTAAAATTCTGTAAAACAAAAGTAAATTTCTAGTAAATTTCTGTAAAATAAACGTAAGTAAAAATAAAATTCTGCAAAATAAAAATAAAAATAAATAAAGATAAAATTCTGTAATATAAAAATAAATAAAAATAAAATTTTGTAAAATAAACGTAAATAAAAATAAAATTCTGTAAAATAAAAGTAAATTTCTAGCAAATTTCTGTAAAATAAATAAACGTAAATAAAAATAAAATTCTGCAAAATAAAAGTAAATTTCTAGCAAATTTCTGTATAAATAAACGTAAAATAAAAATAAAATTCTGCAAGACAAACGCAAGATTAAAAAGGAAGAAAGAAAATACTGATAGATACTGAAAAGAATATTCGGCGATTGAATTTCAATAGAACTTGTCTCGTAGTGCTGTTTTCGCGAATTTCGACGGATACGTCTACTATGAATCTTCGAGGATGCATGCACCGTGCCGAGTAATCGTGCACTGATAAATAAAGGCCTGTTGCCTCGAGAAATACCGCCAGTGTGCTTCCAGACATCGATGGGCGAACCACGTGAATTCCAACAAAATTCAATACTCACTGTTACGTGATCCGGTGGTTTCCCCACGTACCTTCAACGATTAGCGATCAGACAAGCATAAATAACTCATCAGTTGGAAACGTTCAGTCTCGCTTTCGACCAGTCGAGTTCGTGAAACTTTCCCCATTATATTTGTGATTCGAAATTAGAAACGATTTTCCAGTAAAGCACCGGGTCGATGATAATTTTAACAGTGACTCGAGCCGAAGCATCATTTCAAGCCGCAGAAGATAGCATCTACGGTGAATTACTTCCGCCCTGTAACCGATTTCATCGCAAACTGTGAAAACAGGTATACCAATGTTGCCTCAGACTTCGTACAAGTTTTAAAATTGACGTGCGACGCACGTTTCTTGAATGAAAGCGAAAGTGAAACAATATTCGATTCGAAGGTTACTTTTTTTCGTCGAAATAGCGGGAATTATTAAAGATCAGTGGCCTTGATCTTTTAATCAAATCGATCTCAGATGGTTTATCGTCTTTCTACGAGGCTCGATACTCATCTCTGGATTTTTAATTTTTAATTCCGGTTTAACTCTCAGCCATAATCATTCACTCGAAAGATGTTAACAATGTGCAATTGAGAGTGTAGAAACGTAAAATGATCGTTGCTTGTTTCAGGTCCTTTTTGTAAAGCCACAGCAGTTCCAGCTACGAGAGCTAACAAACATCACATACACGGAAGACGAATATTTTTTTAATTCAAACGCACCGACTTGGAACAAACAGTAGACTTATATATACCTGTACATACGAGGAAAATTCTGTTATCAAAGTTGATACTCGAAACCAGCTCACCAGTGCCACTATCTTCGTCGATTCTTTAATCGATAACAAGAACGTAATTCGAGCGAAGGAGAAGCTGTAAGCCGATAGAGTGCGGAAGTTGGGAACACTATCTTTTTATTACGTCAGGCCTCGACAATTTGACGAACATTTCGCAAAACGAAATCAAATTAACTGCGTTAAATCGTCTGCATGAAGTAATCCTCGTTCGAGAGATATATGTATGTGTGAATCATTAGTTTAGATTAGTATTGCCAAGTTAAAGCACAAACTGGAAGAGACTGGAATGTCATCAACGAATGGACCATTCAAATGTTTTCATTTCTCTGCGGCTACGCGCGAGACTTTGCGATTGTACTTTTATTAACGAAGAAGGGAATACGTTTGCATCTCCGAAGAGGATCACTGTAACGAAGTGAGATCGAGTGGGAAACTCGGCGAACCAAAGAAAATCTGCGATCGAAGATAAATGTTTACGGCAACAACAATTTCAGTGGTTTATAAATAGAACTCAAAGGAGCAACATGTATGGGATATCGAGAAAGTGTTTGGTGCTGTTGCAAATATTATTTTGTCAATTGGCGATTAGTGGCGCACGTATGGACAGTGAAACACGGATTATATCCATTCCTCTGGTATGTATATTAATAAAAATTCAATTTAATCAGATTTCAATGTGTAAAGACTAAACTCAAGGTTGATGAACGATCAACGGTATCTCGATAGAACGTTATGTCTAATTATAAATTGCCAAATCACTTTTACAAGGCACAGCAAACTGATGTATGATAAATATAGATAGCTGTACTATTTAAACAAAAATTTATAATTCAAAATTTAAAATATCTGTTTAGTTACTTTCAGGTCCTTTAATTCTATCTATATCCATCTTTGAAATATTGAAAATACAAGTACAGTGTATCTTTCTGTAAAACTCCAATTTAATTATTGTCAGACAGACAATTATAAATAATATAAATGTAATATAAACTGTTAAATATAATATATATAAATATAATAAACTGTCTTTCTGTAAAACTCCAATTTAATTATTGTCAGACAGACAATTATAAATAATATAAATATAATATAATATAAACTGTTATAATATAAAAATAATATAAACTGTTTAAAAAAAAATTTATAATTTAAAATTTAAAATATCTGTTTAGTTACTTTCAGGTCTATCGTTCTATCTATATCCATCTGTGAAATATTGAAAATACAATAGAGTGTATCTTTCTGTAAAACTCCAATTTAACTATTGTCAGACAGACAGTTATAAATAATATAAATATAAATATAATTATAAATAATATAACTCTGACTTTGGCTTACAATTTTTATGCCTTTGATACTTATAAATAAATATAAAATATATTTAACTTTGATACTGATAAATAAATATAAAATATATTTGACTTTGATACTTATAAACAAATATAAAATATATTTGACTTTGATACTGATAAACAAACATAAAAATTGTCAATTGATTTTTATTCCTTAGAAGTTCCTAAGTTTTAGTAAAAAAAAAAAAAAACGTATAAGAAACATGATTATGAATTATTTAAAAAAAAAAACATGTAAGAAACATGATTATGAATTCTTTCGATTCGATAAGATAAATTTTTCGATCGTTTAGATAAGCGAATAAATTTTTCAGATACACATGCGATCATCCTTCGATCTTATTTTACAGGAAAACGAGACAGTGATACCTGAAAGGTACAAGAATTTACCTGTGGTTGGCAAATGTTGTCCGTTTGGCGAGGTTTTCGTGAAAAATGGCACCGATGCGGTTTGCGTTCCGCATTCGTTTACGACCGGGAATTTCTCCCCAGTATTCTACGACTTTAATGCATCTGGTTACGAAGTTCCCGGTGTGGCTCGAAGTTCGTTTGTCGCGATTGTTGGAGATCCTTGTAAATACAAGAGGTGAGTATGCAATGTTTTAATCTGAAATTTTCCATCTTGAATAAAATTTAATAAATTCAACAAGTTTGATATAACGAACAAGGCAAAAAAAAAAAAAAAGAAAAATTGAAGAAAAAAACTGCACACGACTTTTTTTTCCATTATAAAAGCTGCGAGGAACAATTTCATCTTATCGTCGTATCTATCGTCAGTATACACGTATTTCGTATTCAAGGATAAGCGTCGGCCTAAGAATTTTTTATCCGAATGTAAATATTGAATCATAATGAATTTCAAATTACCTTAATTTCATTTGGTATAAAGCATCCTGATAATGCAATTGTGCACAATTCGCATCGTACTGTGCAATTTGCAATACTGCGCACTTTTCAATCTTTGAATTAAAAAAGGCGTTGAAAAAGTTTGTCACTGGAACATGACGACAGTCAATGAAAATCCAAAGTGCATCAGTACGTAAATTATAATTACTTTCGACCTATTAATTCAATTTTCGAAAAAAAGTTATATACGTATTGCGAGTAAAAAAGAAGTTTGTAAATGTATAAACAAAAACACTACGATATCCAAAATGACAGCAGAATAATAGATAATCTTGCATTTACCTAGATGTTTAGATTAAGTTAGATATATATATATATATTTTTTTTTTTTATTTTCTTAAGGTACATTTTAGATCCGTACGCTGATTACAGGGATAACAATTATTTATTAACAAACGGTTCTATATTCGCGCCCGATCACGATCCAAAAATATTGCAACCCGGAGTCGATTACTGTGTAGAAATCGTGCCAGACCTAGGGCTTACAACTTTTGTATGCTTCCCCGAAGGTAAACTTGGAGATGTATTTTTAGACGAGTTTCAATTGTGCGCGCCGATTCATCAACGCGCTGACGCTAACGAAATTGTTCCAGATCGCGTGATAATCACCGCCGATTCCCGAATCACCATCTACGCCTGCGGACTTTTAATATCAGTGCCGTTTTTAATTCTCACCATCGTCGCGTACTCCATCACGCCCAAGCTGCGAGACATTCTCGGCAGAGCATTGTGCCGTTACTGCGGATGCTTAGGCGTTGCTTTCACGTTGCTAGCAATCACGCAATTATGGAGCATTGATCTGTCGGATCAAGCTTGCATCAACATAGGTAAAGTGGCACACGAGATCTAATCAAAAAAAAAAAAAAAAAAGAAAAGAAAAATCACAAACAACGCACGAAAGAAAATCTTCTGAGGTATTACTCACAAATATTTAACAAACTTTGCCAATCAATGAAAGAAAATTCTCAGAACTGTTCGTTCTTTCCAACAACACAGGTTTAGATACAATTCCACTGGATTTTATTATACCCGCGTGTTGCCATAGATAGCATCGCGGCATATAAAAGTAAAGTTTGACGTAACGATGTGCGTGACTCTTAAACGGACAATGAATTAAAATGCAAATTGCTTTTCCCAGCGTTCGTCGTCCAGTTCTCCTTCGTTGCGTGCTTCTTCTGGCTGAATGCCATGTGCATCGAAATGTGGTCGCTGGTGCGCGTGTACGTGGATCGGGAAACGTACAAGAGAATGAAACCAAGGAAGTTGTTCTTTTGGTACTCTTTATGGTGCTGGGGTCCCTCGGTGATACTTATCCTCGTCTCGATGATTATGGATCTCGGCCCGATAATACCAGCGACTTACGTGAAGCCAAACTCACTCGGCAAGGAAAGTTGCTCCTTCAAATGTAAGTTGAACGAAACTGGTGAATTTATTAACGTAACGACATCACATTGTTTCAATAGTTTTACACGTATGCCCGACGTCATTAGTACAATTTGAATTTACAGCGGAGGATAAAGCGGTGCCGTACTTTTACATACCAGTCGGGCTGCTCCTCCTTGGGAATATATTCCTTTTTGCCATGAGTTTCGTCAAATTGACTAAATATCAAAGGAATCTCGACTTGAGGCGTCTCGCGAGAAATCAGGAATCGGATCGGCTCGATCGGAAGTACCTCCGACGTCTCATGCGCACCGCAATCGTTTGCATGATCATCTTCTTTCTGATGGGCTTCAACTGGATGATGGAACTGATATCCTGGTTCGTCGACGGTGACTCGTTCGACTGGTCCTCCTTCGACCTTATAAACGCTCTTCAAGGTGTCCTCATTTTCGCATTGTTCGTGCTGCGAAGGCCACCGAGGGACTTCGTGTGGCACAAGATACAACAGCTTCGCGGTATCAACGGGGCGGCCGACGTGGAAGTCGAAAGCGTGGAACTGTATCTACTGCCGACGACGAACGGCGACACTCTGCCCAGATGAACGACGATCCCACGTATACAAAATAAAATCTATTCCCTTCCGATCCTTTCTCGAATTCAGCACGTCGCGAAGGGATTGTGAATCAACTGCCGAAAGATGTTTGAAAGTTCCTCGACGAGATGTACAATTTTTCTATTTTTCTTTTTCATTTATGAAGCATTGAATTGACCGTGAATTGAACATGAGAAATTCAATGACACTGATAAATTTATTTTATGCAAGACTTGTTAAATTATTTATTACGCGCGTGATGAAACGAAAACAGTGTATCCAACGTGTAGCATATCTCATCAGATTTATTTTTCATATCATTTTCTAGTTTCGTGCGGAGTGTGACTTGTAATTTATTTAAAATAGTTTAATTATTACCACCTGGAGCAGGATAACTTTATATGAATGAAATCTTCGGAGTTTTTATGTATGCGTTTGCATTTCATTTTCAAATCACCTCTCGTTCCCTCATTCAGTTTTTTATTCTCTGTTGATCGTTCGTGTTCACTGTGAATACTTGTGCATCCTAAGAAAAAGACTTGAAGAAATGAACAATTTTCTACATTTACAATAAATTTCATGAATATAACAACAGCTCATTCGATTATTGAATTTATAATTATGTTCAAAGTGACTGCACACACAGACAAACACACACATTATATTTGCATTTCCTGATAATGGTGGTATAATTCTTAGAAACTTGTTTTGATTATGTAAAAACTGTCTGTAACTCGTTTTATAATGACATATTGAAATTGTGATATTTGTATACCGATTGCATAACAGTAAGAAACCGGATAACTTTTATTATGACCTTAGATCGAATTCTTTGAATCTTGTATATTTAGCATTAATGAATTTCTAATGATATATATATATAATATTTGTAAACACTTCGCTAAGTTTCATTATTTGTCTATTTATCACTTTTATAAAATTTCACAAGTCTAGAAAATACGATATCATTAAATTATTCTAGTGAAATCCAATTTCTGTATTTTTCTAGCTATTTCAATGATCATTTTTATATTTTAAAACAATCTAGAATTAGTTGCTTGTGTTAGTAATAAATTAATTACGAAATACAAGCGATAATATTACATTTTATATTTTGTAATTTTAGCATTAGAAATGCAATATATTATTTATTGTAAAATTTTTCAATTATTTATGTAAAATTAAATGCATTCTTGCAATAAATATTGTATTCATATTTAAATACACAAACACACACATATATATTTGTTCAAACAAAAAGGCGATGAATGGTACTTTAAAAACTTGTTGACACGAGTAAAAAATATTTTTATTTGTATCCCTCCCGAGACTACATTATACATTTGTTCGCTCTACTTTTGCGTTTCTACTATGCTATATAAAAATAAAATAGTATAGGTTTGTACAACCAAACCTATTATTAGACTATGCCAATCGAACCAAAAGGTTTCCTATTAAGCTAATAAAAATTGATAATTATCTAAGAGTGTTTGTTCGTATATTAGGTGCGCAAAAATAATAGTAGCACACTCGTTATAAGCTCTGAAGCGTCAGACGATTAAATTCTAATGCCTTATCGGTTAATAACCCGACAGCCAAACCAGGTACAGAAAGTAACTTTTGGATATTAATTAGAAAATCAAGGTGTCGTATAAATTACGCTATGTCATTTTGAGAGTATCATTTTACATCTATGTAGATGTATGTACATACCTAATTATCGTTATTGTATTATCCAGCAAATATCAAAATTTTATAAAACATTTTACATTGAATTGGCAAAATAAAAGCTAGATTTCATTATGAGAATTATAAAAATATAGTTTTCTATAAAATTATCTGTCTTTAAATTACTCAGATGGAATTAATTCATAAAGTAAGTATTATTTGCCGAATAATATAATACTTAATCTCTTCTAACTTTATCCCTTTCGCTCGAAATTTCAAGAAAGTTTAATTTAAATTTATATACTGCGTGACAATGCAACGTACACAATATAAAATTGTTGGGTGTGTCTAAACCCTTTGTGGTCCTTGTTGGTGCAAAAATTATTTGTTTTTTACCATACTGTGCTAAAACATATATCGAGTTCAAAAATTAATCATCTGTTACCGACTATTCCGATTATGTTAAAGAAATTAATTTATCAAGGTCTATGATGCCCTGGAAATGGTGGGCTAATGCCTAAAATTCCAACAAGATTTCCTCGTTGAGCAACATATACCAAGCGATACATTCCTGGTGTTCGAAGAGCCGTATCGCTAAAATAAATTCGTTCGGTGATCGAATGAGGCTCGAAAGGAACTGGAGACGATTTACCTAACATAAATCTTCGTCAAAAATTAATCGAGATAACTGTGACATATGTATACAGAGCAAAAATCAATTAATGTATTTAAAGAATTATGATAAACTGACATCTTACCTCGACCTACATATTCATAAACGATGTATTCGTCTAGGCTGGAAAATTCATTGTGAAAAAGTCCTACCCAGTCGCCGCTAGCTGGTCTCGCATCTCCCAATAATTTGTATGACACTGAATTTTCTTCATCGATAAACCATGATGACACAGGTTGGAATTCTACACCATGATCTTTCACGTGTGGTCTTATCTGTAAATATAGTGTAAATTTTTTATAATAAAACAATGGATCATTCATTGTGCTGCACAGAGCAAATCTTACAATAACATCGAACTCTCCTGTAACAGGTTTATGGTCTGATTGTATATAATTGGAATGACTTTTATAATTACGTTGAATAGCACTCAATCTAATATCATCATAAATATCAGCATTTACTCTGTACAAAATTCTGTCAGTCCATGATGGTCGACGCCTAATTGGAAAATTTTTAGTTAAAAGAAAATACAAAATTGAAAATATAACAAACTTATCTTACTTGAGATCAAATTCTTGAGATGCAAATTCATATTTATAAGTGGGAGGAAATGTAATAGGATTTTCATTCAATTCAGAGAAAGCTTCGCCCTTTTCCATTACCATCTTCAATTGGTCTCTAGCTAACAAGGACTTTAGCTCATTTTTCCTAACTAGCATGTCTATCTCTGTGGCAGTCAAATCCTCTCCGTGTAATCGAAAATTTAGATCACCGATCCAAAATACATAACTGTATACAGAAAAGTGGCATTTATTTTAATGTTATTTATAGATTAAATTAAACTCGGAAAAAATTACCGACTCATGAAATAATATTTTTGATGTATCTGGATTACTGAAACTATGACTTGTGAGTATTGTATTATAATCCATAATTCTGTCTGCCAATAAATGGTCGTGCGGTGTCAAGTGTGTATTTACTACACACATGTTAATTCCATACATATTTAGTCTTATACTAACTGCACCTTTATTTCCCTAGAAATAATATATTTTTTTTATTAAGAAAAGATTAAAAGAAAATCCTATAGAATTGTAATGTCTTCTTACCCACATGCCTCCACATCCTGTTCGTGTATATTGAGTCTCTATTAATCTCAAATGCGTGATGTGTTTTCTCAAACAAAAGATATTTAAAACAAGACCCTGTAACCGTTGTGTACGTATTTTTACATAGTCATAATTCTTCAATACTTCTCTGCAAAAATTGTATCATATCGTTTTATTTTTCTTTGCATATTATTTTTAACATAATAATCGTTAGCTTTAGAAACGTTAGCTTTAGTTGTTAATTTATATGAACAATCAAAGTTTATGTCAATACCTGAAAGATTTAGTCCATGGATCTTCAAAGAACATATCCATCACCATATTTTGCGGTTGAGCTTTAACTTCTTGTAATCTAATATAATTTAAAAACATAGTTATTTCAAAGATGATGTACAAATTTGCGTAAATTGTACATACCCAACAAAGTATAAATCTGGTGATGTTCTTGTCTCGTTAATATGACTGATATCAAGAAGTTCATGCAAATCTTGCTCTGGATATTTAGTTGCCACATTCCATGTAACAAAATAGACTCTGAAACACATAAGTAATTTTCATTATTAAAATTATTTGTAATTACAAAGTGCAGACGGCAATAAATTAATCAGAATATAAAACAAAAGAGTTAAAAGTTAAAAAGATACCGAATAAAAAAAACAAATATATAAACAAGAAAGTACACGTTATACAACTTTTACTCACCTAAGATACTTCAATGTATCAGCCATTTTTAGGATAATAATACGATGTAAGTCGGGAAAGAGTTACACAAAATTTTATTTTAACTTTGTTAGCATCTGGAATCAGATTATACTACGGTGACTATGCAATGTTTTCTAACATGCTTTCTAGGTTATACAAAGTAGTATACGAGATGTCAGTGATCGGTTAGGTAACTCCTCAGTTTTAAACTTACATTCGAATATTGTTAATAAGTATTCAAAGAGAGATTTCACAGAAATCACATCACTTTTCTATTAAAATGAATGAATATAACTTTAAGTACAAAGAACCATACTGATGACAGCTGTAAGGTAAGCAATCTCCCCTCCACTAAAAACTAACCATGTGACGTCAAGATAGCAATCTCTCATCATATGTTTGCTGTGTATGCATATTATGAATAGTAAATATACATAATACGTAGTATACATAGTGAAGTAGAAATTCATTCTTTCATTAGGCACAGCCGCAATTAAATACTGATTATTGAACAAAAACTGGACAAAATTACTGATTACTGATATTTTAAAAAGTAAAACAAATCGCATTAATTATCTTTCATTAAAAGTTCAGGTATCTCGAAATTATTTATAGCTCTAACAAATTCACTTCCAAATGCAAGCAGAAAAGTGGACAAATGTATAGATAAATTTATTTTTTCAATCATAAATCTGGTTCATTAGAGTTAACGGGAAAAATCAGTAAATTCTTATTATATGAAGATTCTAGTTCCAGTTATATGGACTGTTTTGTTCTTCGACAGAATCAGATAAACGAGGTTCATACTATATGCGCGTAGCATGCACTTTATGCCTCATTTCTCTTAAAGGATATGAAAACAAATATTACTGTAAATGTAAAACATTGTTCTAAATGCTTGAGTATTTATAATCGTTTCGTTTTATCATTTACAGAGTTTCTGCAATTAAAAAACGTACGTGTATTGTAAAATATAAATACCTGAAAATTTTTATGTCTAAAGTTCTTGATCTTTAAACCAATTTAAGCACACTCAATCAAAATTTATTGCTCGCTATGCTCTGTACACTGTGACGTACATCCTGAAACTAAATTCTACATAATAACGAAAGATTATAAGGGTAAAGAAATGAGTCATTAATAGATAAGAATAATAATGAAGAAATATCTTTAATACACTTTGCAAATATTTCTCGTCGTTGCCGTTTCTTGCACATTACGGCGCGCAAATGGGATTTTTAATACAGTGCAGAGTATTAATAACAACAGTTTTATCAACGTAGAATCACCTCTTTCTTCTCTCCAGCTATTAACAAGCATATCTTAAATCGCACATTGTTCAAAATGCGTTGCCAAGCCATGATCGATGGCACTATTTATAATCCTCTTTGTGGATATTGCTGAATAACGAAGGTATAACGATAAATAAGAAAAGGAGACTAATAAAAAAAAAAAGGAATGGATCGTACCTTTATTATAATTTTCACTTCGTCTCCGGCTGTTATAGTTTGATTTGTTATCGAAATAATCGAGCGTAGCCTCCTATCGTGGGACGCTAATAAAAAGATCTCGATCGATTATTGTTATTTACAGTAATAAAAGAAGCGAGCAGAAAACAAAGTCCGCCGTTTTCTGATTATCTAATCTAACAATAAGAACGCGGAAAGCAGTTCCCTTATCGAATATCACTTTTAATTTGAAAGTATATATATATATATATATATATATCAGAATTATCAATACATCATCCCGGGATGGGTTGCTCGTTGAAAAAATACATTCGGATTTGCCGATAGAGTTGTGTACAGGTTTCCTGCGTCTTCTGGCCTCAGATACATGCCCGGTGGTAAGACGAACGTCTCCATTGGGCCGTGAACATCTGCAAAATACATTTAATTAACATCATTAAAATAATTTCTGCTCGTAAATAATTATCACAATAATATAAATATAACTCATTATATTATACATATCATTATAATTAAATAATATAAATATAAATTATTACATTATCATCATAATTAAGTTCTGCTCATAAATGTTTACGTTCTATCAAAACTCGTGATTAATGCCCGGTAACAAGGAAGAACGCACGTTTGCTTATCCTTCCGGTCTTGTTAAGCAGCAGAGCGTAATCTCTGTGATAATTGTATTTGTTCAGAGTTTATTACATTTGAATGTTTCTCCACTTGTATCGTTTTATGTTTACTCGAATTTTGATGCCACGTTTCAAAAGATTACGTACGAAATGTTGACACAGAATACCCATTAAGCAGAGGTGCGATTGTTTCGTAAACGTAACCGCATTCCAAAGTGGGTCACACCTGTCACGTTCCTCACAAACATGCGATCAGTCGAAAGTTTCTTGTTCCATTAGGAGAATAGTTTCATTAATTTTGAAGTCGCATCGCCGCGAATGCGAAATGAAAACAGAAAGTAACAGAAAGAATTCTACATTTGGAATTAGGATTCTATCTTAAGAAGAAAATTTGCTTGTTTTTTCGATGACAAAAGAACGAGGAGATGCGAAGAATAATCTCGCGTGAACTGTTTCGCACTTTTGCAGAAGCAGCTGATTTATAAAGTGAATTGAAAAATTGTAAAGAACGACGTGGCTGGATATTGTGATAGCTACAAACCGGTGTCATAAACGAGCGGATGGTTTATGCCTGGCAGGCTAGTGACCTCTGCCTCGCAATACGTGGTATAATCCACGCCCTACTCGTAATAATGGAGATTATGGTAAAGAGATATTACCAAGCTAACACATTTACTTGACAACATTCCCTTCTTAAAGTGAGGCAACACAAATACTCTTTCTCTCAAACAAAGCCACACGTTTTAACGTAAACTCAAGCTCTCATTTCTTTTTCTTTTGTGTTTCATCGCTGGCAGAAAAAAATGAACGAAAGGTCTAATTTATAAAATTGCAGTATTGACAGTTCCATTTAAAATTTGATATAATTTCCACGGGTAATATGCCCGCTTGATGGTTTTTCTGATAAGTACACGTAAAAAAGAATGAGAATCTGTTTTCTTCCACTGTCAAAACAGTTCAATCGGCTACCAACAACAGGTCACCGATTAACCAGCGTCGTCTGATCTAACGGGATTTATTTCCCCTTCCAGTTTAATTCTCGGAGAAGCGCTTGACCTCCGCCTCGAAACTTTCTCCCTCTCCACCTTTCCTCAGTAAGAGGTTTTTCCTCCCTTTCGTTCGTTCCTCGAGGTGAAGGTCGCCAAAGGCGACGCCGTAACGGAGGAAATGTTTGGACTGGGGATTAACCAAGTGAACGAAGTCAGGTATTTCCGGGACCACTTTGAAATAACTCCGTTATTCGGCCTCTCGAGTGTCAAAATTATTATTTTGTATGCTCGTGTTGGATTTGAATGGGGAATCGTGTATTTAGCTGGATTTCTTCGAAATTACTTGGCGAATTTCTAAAGAAACTCACCGTCAGAGTATATGGGGCTTCCACCGTGCCTGCAGGCAGTGCATCCAGGTATAGCGGATGAAACTAATGCCACGCGATCTGCAATTCAAAATATGTTCGATATCATATACTATTATACGAATACCGCAGAAGCATCGATAATTAATACCAGTTGATTTATTCGTCGAATTCGAGAAATTTTATTACAATGTGACGTAGATATTTAAGAGAAATGTTTATATTTTACTTTTCAATACGCTATCGTATAATACACGTGCGTGCAATAGCTTCTGAATATGAATTAAACTTTAATTTATCACTTTCTTTCTTTGTTGTACAGCTTTTATCATTTATTTATAGCTAATATATAGTTATATATGTAGTTTTTTACAGATGAAATTACAATATCCGGAAAGTGTTAGTTTCCAGGAAAAATTGTCGAACGAGAAAAGCAAGGTCCCAGGTTTTACACACCGAGAACAGTATACAACAATAATGATAAATATAATAGCCGAGCGGCAAGGTTTTTAATTGCTGAAAACTGCACACGCCAGAGGCGTTTATACATAAACCATAAACGTACCACCGCTGTGATAATGCATCTTCCTCTTTAAAGAAGCCTCAGTCGGCTTGAAGTGGAAGAAGGAGGGCGAGTAACCGCTGCCAGGAAGCGAGCTCAAAGCATCGTCCCGATCGCGGATCACCGTTGCGGAAGCTTCTCGGCCGAGGGCAGCTAACTGCCGACCCTTCGGCAGGAACATCGTCAGGAACACAAGAAGGGAAGTAGTCAATAAACCATAAGCTAGCCAGGCCTCTCTGTCGCTCTCCGCCGAGGCGGCTACCGAGCCGATCGCGCTCGATATCCAAATCGGAAGCGATAAACCAACAGCCAGGCCGATAAACGCCGCTTCCCGGTTGTTGTCACGAACGCCTCGTGCTCGAACTGCTAAACAAGCCACCGCGACCAGCAGCGCGCCCGGATACCTGGAACCATCAACGTTTTTGTTTCACACAGAATTGGAAAGCATCATCTTTTTGATGCTGCCTTTACGCCGATTGTTTGAAGAATTAATTAATAGAGAAGTAACTTTTGTGATTTCTCTCTTTTTCTTTTTTTTGGAATATTGTTTATAACTCCCGAGGAGTATTGTCGGTGGAAGGTTTGCATTTCAAAAGTTTACCCGAGGGAAGCCACTATCTGTCCAAGGGGGGTTTTGCAACAGGACATTGGCGAGTTTTGTCCTGCATTTTGTGTCTGAACCACGGTAGGTGGCTCGCCGTAAAACCATTGTCCAATGATAGCTACTTGCACGAGTACGGCGAATCCCAATACCAGTGCCTGCCAACACAGAGAGCAAACATACGCGTCCTGTATCATCAACGTATATACACCACATTGTACAAACAGTCATAAGCTTGACATTTCAATAATTGGAAAGAAAAAAGAAAAAAAAGAAAAGGAAAGTAAGACTGTCGAACGAACCTCGAAAGTGTCGATCGATTTGCATTTTTAATTAACATTCTCAACGCTTGCCCGTCGCGTGTAATAATTCATCGGTGAACAAGCACGACCGTGCGACGCGACTCGGGTTTCAAATTAAAGTTAAACGAAGAATTATTATTATTACACGAGGCAGAACGAGTTGGATTTCGCAAAATCGGTCTCTAGCCTTTTATCGTCGTTTCCTTTAATACGTATAATAATCACTCGCCCGGCGAGCAATGAGAGAAAATCCCTGTCCCGAGAGTCCGTTAGGCGAGAGCAGAAAATTGTCGGAGACATTAATACGGAGAACGCATGCCCAACGAATCACAACAGCTGCATTTACTGCTATTAGTAGCGGGCGGTTACTACTGGCGTTACTTTTCATTCAGATCCCGTCCCGCACGTACAAATAGCCGATCGAGATCGACATCCGGATCTCCAACACCGGCGAAATAAGAAAAATCCCTTCGTGCATCCTTCGTGAGAGTTGTTCCACGAGTTTCTGCCAGCCACGAGTTTTCTAAAGCTGTATTCACACCGGCTGGGACAATAACTTTCGATTGTGTTTCGAGATGCGGGGGAACGAATGGCTCGTTGAATCTGCCTGCTTAAAATGGCCTCAGCGCGAAAGATCATTTTCATCTCTCTCCCTTTCGACGAGCTTCAACACTTCTATTCGTCTTCAGCGTCGTCTCTTGCGAGATACAAAAAAGGAAAAAAAGAAATATTGAAATTAGTCGTTGTAACGTGGCAACATTTACCTGGTAAGGCGCTGGTAGATAAACGCCGCTATTCAACGAGAGCAGGAACACGCATTTGACCAGCAACGCTGCAAACACAAGAGCAGCGGGCAGGCCGACTAATCGAAATGCAGCGCAGGACAGCGGGTTTTGGCTGAGGGATGCTGCTGCGGAGAGTCCCGCCAGGAGGAAAAGGCCCAAGAGTAGAGCCTGGCCCAGAAATAAATGTCGTCTGTTCGGCGCGGTGACCCTTGCCTGAAAAATCAATCGACGTTACGCACATTTTCACACTCGTACGCGTGTTCCTTTTTTTGCTTTTTTTTTCTCTCCACGTTGACTACTTTTGTGTTACACGTTGTCCCAATTTCGAATGCACGCAAGAAATTCTGGGAGAATAAGCGCGTTTCGCGCGAGAACATCGGCGGCATGCTCTAATTTTCTTTTTCCTTGGGCGAAGGAAAACCTTAATATGGCAAACAGAAAGTAACTCTACGTGGAGTACGAAGTCTCTGTTCTTCTATTTACCTGCGTTTGCTCTGTTAATGATAGAACAGGCGCGAGAGATGCGATAAGGACTGTTGCATGTCAAATTGTTCGCAAAGTGGATCGTTACGTGCCACGGTTTTAATCGCAGCCAAATTAATTACAACTGCCCGGGTTAATTTCTCCAATTAGAACAGCTAATAAAGCAGTCGTACGTATCGATTCGAGTAATTGGTGTTCTCGTCTCTCGCACGTTCTCTTCACTTCGATTTGATATTTCAGTTATTTCAATTCGAAACAGGGTAAAAGGAAACGAGAGAAAAGACGAGCCGCAACTGTTTGTGAAAGTGTTTTGACCAAGAAACACCTCGAGATGACGACTAATTAATTGATTGAAAATAATCGGCAGCAAATTGATCCTGACACACAGACAGGATGTTTATCGCGCGTCAAAGCTATCAGAGTCTGTCCAGAGGACTATCCTGTTCAATGAAGTGTATCGAAGTGTACAAGCAGACGACACGTCTAGGAGAAATAGGTGGTCGACATGCAAACTAGGCCTAGGTCTCGGTGAAATTGCGAGCGTGCTGGTTATTGGAGCTTGTCCAAGTACGAACGAAAACGATTACCATAAATTCTTCGTACGCGTTTCCACGTACTATCGAGCGCAAGAAAAAAAAGAAAAAAACAAGAAAAAGAGAGAGAGAGAGAAGAAGAAGAGATCTCTAAGCTCTATTAATCCGGCGCTTCCTCAATTCTCGATTAGCGATGCTCGTACGACCATAACGACGAGAACACGTTTCACACCATTGCGCGCAATCAGTTCGATTGGTAACAAGCGCCTCCCAATTTTTTTCGCCAGGCGAAGCATCTTTGCGCTCTATTTCCGGCCATAGATTCACGTCATAAACGACGGAAAAAACTTCCGTTTCTCTAATTTTCACTGTTGTAGTGTATTCGCAATTTTTTTTTAAACGAAAGGATGTCGTTTCTTCAATTTCAAGTTCCAGGACGAGGCGAGATTGGTTTGAAAAAAAAAAGAAAAAAGAAAAGAAAAAAAAAGGTAGCTGGCAAAGGTAAACGAACCGACCTTGAGCAGTACGAAAACCTCGAAGCCAGCCATGAGGAGCATCGTGGCTGCGCTGAGGGCCGCCAGAGGAAGAGCCCAGGGTCGTTGTCTGAGCAAGGATCTCGAATACGGTCGGGCATCGGTCTCGATCTCCTGGCTCTTCTTCTTCCCAGGAGGCACTTTGAACACCGAAACCGTCCTGTTCGGCGCTGGAACGCTGATGACACTGGCCACGCTAGCGAGGCCGTTCCTGTCCATCGCCACGTCGCTAGGTACCAGGAAGAATTCCGTCGACAGCTCGTAATCCCTCGAGGCTTCAGCTCGTATCGCCGTAGTTCCGGTTGGACCGAGCCAGCTCGCCGTGGCCCACGACAGGATAATCGGGCTCAGTCTCATCGCGTCATCCGTACTTCCGTCCTTATCTCTGTGTGGCTCTCTGTATAGCTCGCAAGCTTTCTGTAGCGTCACCGGGACATGCACCGTTTCCTGCGTAAGCGCATCCTTATGCGCCCGCCTCTCTTTCCTTTCAGCGATACCACCACACCTGCAATTATGATCAATCATTGAATCGTTTTGATTAGATTTAGTGGCTGGGTTAAGGGAAATCGCAATAGCCAACGATGGAAAATTGTGAAATTGTAGACCTTACACTTTTCTTCTTACACAAATGAAAAGCTGACCAACTAGCCGCTCGAATGTAAGTCAAACATTTCTAATTTCCTCGCGCTTTTGAAGTTTTTGCTACAAATTTAAACACAGTGCAAACATAGGGATAACAAGTGAAGAAAGTAGTAACGTTTCTATCTAGCAGAGTAAATAGGTAATTTTTCAAATTACACTGATCACCGCAATTTTTTTTTAAGCAAACGTTTCACCGTGGACACGTACGACTTTTAAAAATAAATTTCAATTGCCAACGAAAGCAAACAAAACCGCAGCGTATTATCTACGAGAGCCAAGCATGACCAGTCCACAGGCATTCACGGAGTCTAACACCATTAATTATTATGAACAGGGTCAGCCGTAAGTAGAGTGAAGCATAGACCGAACGAGTAGAACCGGAGTAAAACCGTAAAAACCAGTATCACCGTGCACTGTTACTGTAATCGATGCAACATTGATTACAACCGAGCGATTTCGTATTTGATCAATAAACCTTTTTCAAGTGTCGATCATTGTCTGTCTTCGATATCTCAACGATACTGCTTGCCACACATTTCTTCCTCACTTCCCTTTTACTCCAATTACATTTATCAGTTACACGCAGCAAAATTGTCAAACACAATTGCGGAGTAACCTCAAGAGTCAGTGTTTTGCGTCCTTGGAGAATATTTCTTTTCGCTTGAAACAATTAAATGCAACGAGGGTCAACGAGATGCTACGTGCAAGCCGTGAGTCGCGATATATCCTCGACAATGAATGAAATTTTCTGTCAGAGCATGGATCAGTTCTCTGATGGGGGGACAGGTCAATGGAGTGGCCGCGAAGCGCGCGTTGTGGGAGCCCAACTCCGACTAAGTCAACAAGCATTCTCGAGGGAGAAACTGGAAGCAGACTGGAGTTCCGTTCTGGAGGTGAAGCCTATCCGTTACGGAGGAGCCAGGGAGATGGTGATGACGATGCTGAGCTGAGGTGGTAGTGGCGTACAACAGGAGCGGATCCACGCAAATCTTTCCAATAAAGATTTACTTTTTCTGAGTACTAATCATTCCCACCTGAAAATAACAACTTTGATCATTGTTGCGTCGAAACTGGCTGGTGATTGCTGAATTGCAAAAAGAAAACCTAACCCCCTTATTCTTCGTTGAAACATTTTAGGCATAAATATATAAACATTGATATGATTGTGGAAATTTTAGGTAATTGCTTTCAACGATTTATTTTTGCACTGCACGATTCATTTGTTACACTTAATTATATGTAACTGCAGCAAGTAGCGATACGATCGACGAATACAGATTGAAAAGTCTAATGTGTAACAGTTGCAGTTGAAAAAAATTGAAAAATTGGAAAGATCATCTGAAGATGAACGACGCGACACTCTCGAATTCTAGTTGGCTTTGTTATCGCGAGCAGGCCTATTTTATCGAGAGAAGGATTCAATCTGATCCGCCCCTGACAAGATGAGAGAAGGAGCCGCGTGGAATAAAAGAGAAATAGAGAGAAGGATCGGAATGAAAGGAAGAAAAAGAAAGAAGCTGGTCCTCCGACCGTCGAGGACCGGACCCGGCCGATGCATTTACATATCGTACGTGTAATAACCTCGAAAAAAGTTTCAACAATGGTCGCGGGACGGTTCGTCTCGGTGAAAAGCCGAGAGAGAACAGCTCGGTGAATGAGGAACGGTCGAAGAAATGTTCAACGAGTTTCTCCAACTATGAAAAATGGGAAATTCTCTCACGGTGTTTCATTTCTTCCAAATGAAAAACTCACTGAGAGAAACAATCGCGATTATTTCATCCTTGAGCAAATCATTTTCGTGTTTCGCGACGGATTTCCTCAGGATTAAGAATAAAATTCCTGCCAAGTACACGGGCAAGTGTGAATTATTTACCTTGGCCCAGAAATCGTTTGTAAAATAATTCGTAGCTGGTGAAAGTGATAACAGAGGTGTTCCCTTCTTCGATCTAAGCGGCGCTCTTTCGTTTCGAGCTCGAGCTAGATACATGTAATGTGTAGGCGGCCGCAAGCGTCACAGATCAATGATTGTTTGCGCACACACGACACGTTCGGTAGCCATACACGATCAATCCCTTGAACCAAGGTTCAACGAACCTCTGCCTCGAAAACCGGCCAAACCGTTTGCACGGTTTCGTTCGGCTGGCTCAACGAACGTTGATAGTAAGTTCGAACACGTCTCACGTTTCTTACGTTTCCTCGTCGGGCAAAAAGCTTTACATTCGTATGCATTACTGCCGAACAATTTCAACCCTCGCCGCTATTAATGTCTGCTCAATGGACATCGGCGATTTTAACGACTCGGCTGAGCTCTCCCGCGGTTTATTCCAACGATGCCATCGCCTTGGTGAAAAAAAACTTTTCATACCGGCGTTTACCTAGAAATTATGGAAAATTAAATTAACAACACAGTCCGTTTCTGTTTTACAATTTTGATAATTTAATATTTACTTCAGTCTGACTTTATAGAACGCGTATACGAGTTGACTATCTTTCTTTTCGTCTCGGATTGTTCATGATCATCTACATGACCGCGATTCTTTTTCTTTTTTTTTTTTTTTTTAATGTTTCGCGACAATGCTATCCGGCAAACCAGTTCACAGGAAACATAAATATCAAACTTACCAAATTTGCAGGCCACTCGTGAGAACGGTTTTTCTTCCTTCGTTCCAACCTTTAACATGCTTTACATCATTCTCATTGTCCGAGGCAAGCACGATACAATCTGCGAGCAAGGCATACTTGCATTATCTCGATGAAATTATATTATATTATGTTATATTGTATATAATTATACAATATAATATAATTGTATAATACAATTAATAATACAATACAATATAATATAATTATAATATTGTATATAATTATAAATTATATTGTATATAATATAATATATAATTATATAATATAATATAATATAATTATACAATATAATATAATATAATTATACAATTTAATGTAATATAATTATACAATTTAATGTAATATAATTATACAATTTAATGTAATATAATTATACAATATAATATAATATAATTATAATATTATAATATAATATAATATAATATAATATAATATAATTATACAGTATAATATAATATAATATAATATACAATATAATATAATATAATATAATTATACAATATAATATAATATAATATAATTATACAATATAATATAATATAATTATAATATTGTATATAATTATATATTATATTGTATATAATTATATTATAAACTGTGCAAGATGGATGAACGAAAGTAATGTACAAGAGTCACAGAGTGTCTCGCTCGTCCAACTTATTGAAACAAAAATAACTTTGTTCGAATTTCCTTCTCGATGATAAATTTTGGTGGCTGTTCAAAGATTCACATGTTTGAAGAGCGCTGTCACTATTAGGTGAACACGTCTGTGGCAAAAAATTTATGGAACAATGGACAAATGCGTACGATGTACAATACAATGTCTCGCAATGGCCACGCCCGGTCACTTTCTCCGGCAAAGCCAAAGTCATTCTTGTACCGTAAGTTACAATGCTTAATGACGCAAGCGACCCACGCTCCATCTAATGCAAAGCACCGGTGATCCGCTTTCCTTCTTGCACGTCGGCCAGCCAGCGGAATGTAATTTACCGGGATAAAAGAAAAAAGAAAAGAAGAGAAAAGAAGAAGGATAATTAAGACGCGAGTCTTTAACCAGCAAAAAGCGGAAGATCGACTCTCGTATGACGGCCCTGACCGAATTTCTTTGCACTTGAACGCCATTCCCGAAGTGACTGAAGCTCCTAGAAATTCCTCGAACGCAACAGCAAGGCTATTGCATCGCTCACGTTACAATTGTTATTTCGTAGTTGACAGATGCAATTTACGTCAACTAAAAATTGCATTTTGTAACATAATTTTGTCACGCTTGCGGCGCGTACATATTTGATCATCTTGTTCGCTGATCGATCTAATTGATTTTCGTAAAGAATTGTTACAAGTCTCGTTTCTAGTAACCTTTCTCGAAAATTCGAACGTTATAAATACCGTCTAGATGAAGCGACTGAGCGCCAGAGAGTCGAGGATGCTAGATAAACGTGCGATAGTAAGGAAGGATACAGGACTTCTATGCGAAAGAAATTGTCGAGCGTGGTGGAACGCGAGATTCCTTCCTCCGCTGGAGGAACCCTAAATGATGCGGAGCGCCGAACTCTCGGTGTTGCAGTAAGAGAGGAGAGAAGTCCGCTTGCAACCGGTTTCAACAAACTAAAGCTAAATAAAGTCATGTAAAACGGCACGGAACGGAGGAAATCGTTCTGCCGATAATTGCGCTCCCGAAAAAAAAAAAAAAAAAAAAGAAAAGGAAGCTTTCCGAGCTTGCTTGCTTGAATATAATCATTATATGAATGCGTAATATTTAGAGGAAGAAGAAAAAAGAACAATCACCATCGTCGTGTATTTATCTACCATAATTGTCCCAAGTATAAATTATGCGCGAATATCGGAAAAGTATTTCGTGCAGTTTTGTGATAATGAAAACATAAGAAAACGCAAGATTTAAGAACCAACTTGATCGGTAAATAAGTGATTGACGACAGTGTCGTATTTCGAAATTAATTGCCAAGGAACAAGTCACTGGGATAATTAATAAAAATTCCCCGGAGCGAATAGCTGCGATCGATCAAGAAGCAAACATTCTTTCGCAACTCACCCCCTTGTCTATTCTTCGCCTCGTCAGGTTTGATACGTTGATAAGTCGACCCTTCCACGGCAATTCATTTGAATATAAATCCGGCTGTCTGCGCGCGTTGAGAGCCCCACGAACGAAGAACGAGGAGAAGGATGAGGAACCAGGAGGACCGAAACAAGTTGAACGAAGAGAGGACGAAGAAAGAGACGAAACGAAGAATTCTTTTTTCGTTGGACATTGTAACCGCAAACCACGGTGCTCGGCCGTGCAGGATATTTTTTTACTCGCTTTATTTCGGGTTCCCCCGCGCGTGTAATATTTTTTTTCTCTCTTTTTTCTTTTTTCAATCTCATCTCGATACTCACGCGCGAACGAGGTTTACGAGCACGTTTGCACTTTCTTTGCAGTTATTATTATTCTTTCAGAGCATCATTGTAGGTATGTACATGTAGTTAACGTGAAATATGTGTTGACCCGCTGTATGCAAATCTGCAAGGTACAAAAGGGATTATACATCTATTTTTCCAATTATTACCATAAGAAAATCCAATCAACAATAATTCTGTTAAGTCTTGTGAACCTAACATAATCGTTCATACATATTTTTCTGTGCCCGAAGTTGGAGAAAACGTAGAAACAAATGTCTAACTCAAGGATGTAATATTGTTCTGCGAGTTCAATAACCCGAAGGTATAAAAGATTCTAAAAATGTCAATGTCTAAAATGTTTTCCCTATTATCTACCGTTAGTCATTTACATGTATAATTGAATTCAAAAGAAATTCATGAACTGAATGTGTATCGCAAGGCAAATTGTATAAAATAAATGGAAATATATTGTAAGATGTTGAAAATATTTAAAGGAACGAGTTAACAAATATAAAAGGACCGAAGAATTCCCCTTGACCTCGAATTACAAAAAACGTTTATATATCGGTAAAAGGACAAAAAGAAAAAAAGAAAAAAAAAGAAAAGAAACATATGGAAAGAAGGGCGACTATTATTTTATTTTGCGCGCGAGTGCATTGTTAAAGGGAACTTTTATTGCCTCTGCCAAGGACTCACCACGTAATCTCGGGGAAAGCCTATATGGAATCGTAAAGCGTTCTTTACATATGTATACGAAGGCTACGTGCACGTAAAACCGCAATGCACGCGTCTATGGAGTAACTATATTTATTATATGTCGGCTATGAATTATTAACTTTGCCTTCGTGACGCGGCCCTTCGCCTTCACGACCACCAGTCTACGAATCGCTACTTTGCCTGCGTGAAAATACACGTGCACGTATTTACCTCGTGTACAAGCAAAAAGTTTGTCTTCAGCTAGGTGCTTTGCACCAATTAATTGAATTTTATTGAACGATCCATAATTTGTACGTGATTCAAACAAGTCGAACGTAAAAATGTTGAATGTTAGAAATGTTTCCTATTTGTCATAGGTAAAAACAATTGAAACACGGTTCGACGTTAATTTTGTTTTTGTTAATGTAACGTTCGTGGGAAAGGCGAAGCACGCGTGACGCCCAAACAATTTTAACGGTAAATTTACGAGCTTGGTAAAAAATATGATGTTAAATGCTCATTAACATGATAGTATGGAAACGGTATGGCCAACCAGTCTCTCTGCCAGGAAAAGGATTTTCAATTTGAATGAGTTCTTTGAGAATTGCTTCTTCCAACCAATATAACCTGATGCAAATGTACTAATTTGAAAGCATCGTGTCTCTTGTTTTCTGAATAAATAAATTTCTTTCAGTTCTGAAAAATTATCATATCTGACTGTTCAAAACGTTATGGAAGAAATTTCAAACACAATCACACATATCCATCCAAACACAATCACACATATCCATCCGAACACAATCACACGTATCCATCCATCCATATTTTCTTATAGAGCTGACACCGGTTCGACGACATTCCAACGAATTTACTAGTATGTGATTTAATGTATTTAGTTCGTAAATTTCCTGAAAAATATTTAAAAAACATTATATTTATTGTGGCAATATATGTGGATTGAAATAGATTAAAAATTTACTTTAAATTTATGAAAAAATATTTCCGTGAATGTTTTCGAAAAATATTTCAAATTCAACACGAGATGAAGTTAACGAAACCATATTTGCGGTCATAAAAATAATATAAGAATACATACGTGTAACTTAAATATATTTTATTTTAATAAAATTGGCTGCAGAGAATGACCAAAATTTAGATTTACTATTTTGTATTATCTGTAAACGCAATGCGGTAAATCCTTAAATAAATAAAGGATTTTAATACAAATTATCTAAACCTTGATAACTAGCAATATTGAATGTATATGATACAACTCATCATAACGTACATATGATTGCTCGCCATAGCAATCATAAAATCAAAGTAGTGAGTTGTATATGTAACATGTTTATATATACCTTTCATGTCCATTTTTGATAACAATATATAAATTTCAAATTTTCTCTTCACCATATATATATATATATACAGCTACAGTCACGATTCACGCATCTACAATGATCAAGATGATTATTTCGCAATAGTAATATAATAATAATTATAATAATAATAGCAATAATTATTATCATTGGAATTTTTACATAAAAATATAAATTACAATTTGTTGTATGAAATGTGAAAGATCAAGTCTTGGCTCTGCTAAAAACAAATTCGCTGGTAGAATAACAATTGATTAAAACAATTTTATAGTCTTGTCCTTGGAGATTCTATTTATCATGCTGTACAGTTTTGGGACCTGAGAAAATTGTATTACTGAAATTCAATATTCATTATTACGATGTAAAATATCACAAACAATTTTTTAATCGATTTGGACAAACCTCAGGCATCTGCGTTAACGTAGTTACACATTTTTGTGAAATAATTCTTGCAAGACTTACACATATAAATAAATGTTGATTAATAATAATTTAAATAAAAATACACTAATTTAACTGGAATCTCAAGATTGGTATTCTTACATTACAATTTACAAAAATTTCCTTTGTGTAAGATACAGATGCAATTTTCTTGTTCAATTGGTTGTAATATACTAAATGCAAAAAATGCAAAGATACACATTAGCACAAGCAATAAATGGATTAAGCTTACTAAATTTATGTATCATATTTCTTTTTATATACTGCATCTTCATTTTTGTTTCCGACAACATTCAAAATCAGATTTTTTTCACAAAATAAACATACATCCAAAAGTTGTCAGTTAATAAATAGTTACGTTACGAATTTGTATAAGATTTAATCAGAATTGACAAGATTCGATCATTGATTAATTAATGTGATATTAAAGATAAACAAAACTATTTATTGCCAATTCCTTTTCTAGACCATCACAAAATCTCGACCTGTATTAGATTTTTCACTTTCTGAACCTTCACTACCCTCTTCTCCTTCTATCAATTCAGATGAAGAGACCTTGTTTTCTTCACTAGAGGAAATTTCTTCGATTTGAGTATGTTCCTTAGATAATTCTTTAATACTAGGTTTGTCTTCTCTGTAAAAAAAACATACGTTACTGGAGACAAGAGTCTCATAAATGTGATATTTTTTATCAATTTAATATTAAAGTAATAAGAATTAATTGTATTATTATAGAATCACACTTACAATAGTGTTGATGGCGCTTCTTCAGAATCAGAGTCTTTTTCTTTCTTTTTCTTCTTTTTACTAACTTTTTTGTCACTTTCAGACGTAGAACCGTAATATTCATACTAAAAATAAATTTATATATATATATATTCACTGCATTCATTAAATAAATAATAAAGAATTAAAAGCCGATACATACTTGATAAAGTGGCCAAAATGAAGCAAAGAATCCAACATCTGCAGTTAAATTGGGCAAAAGCCAAAGATGACATCTACCAAGTGTTGGAACCCATAGAAGGCAAAATACAATTAATCTAATGATTGCTAATGCCAAAATGAATACAAGGAATCCAGCAGCTGCAACACTTATATAATATACACCATGACGGATTGTTAATGGCCACAATGGGAAGAGACAAACACCAATTGCACCTAAAACTACAAGTGTTCCAAAGAACCAGTAGTATATGGGAATTGGCTCATATATCCAGACATAAGCATCGTTGCAGTCAACAAAATACTGTTCCATATGCATTTCCAAACGTACCTGTAGTGATCATTTTTTGAATTACTTATTCATTGTACTTTATCCCTTTCAGCACTAACATTCTTGATAATGTGCGTGCACTTGTTACTAAACACTTACAGTGATAGTATTTTTATTAAAAAATGCTTCTTATCTTTGTGTTTGAAATTATTTTGATACTGTGCTAAAAAATATTCAGTAAAATAAAACAACATAAAGTGGAACAAATAGTAATATCAAAATAAAATATCACAAGAAAAGTTCTAAGTAACAACAAAACATAGCTTTAAAATAAAACATACGCACAAATTTATGTGCACTGAGTAGTTCTATACAAATATATATGGATTGCTTGTAATATTTTTTAAACTAATATCTGAATTATAGCACTGAAAGGGTTATTAATAACAATGTTTATACATAAAAAATTTATACATATAATTACTAAATAAACATTACTTTTTCTTAAAACTTACTTTTGGTTTTTTTTTCTTTTCTTCAGCTTTATCTTCACTTTCACCTGTTGCATCTTTATTATCTTTAATCTCTTCCTTCTCTTTTTCAGTAGACTTCTTGTCCTTTTTAATTTCTTTAACTTTTTTTTTTATTCCACGTATTTTACATAGTTCTTCTTCAGAAATTACCACCTTTTTTGCTCGATGGAAGAATTTATGTCTCAACATCAAATCAAGGAATTCTGTAACCTGTTCGCGTGTTTCAAATCTAGTTTTACTCCATGGTGAATTTTCCAACAAAGCATCCACTGCACGACTGCCAGTAAAATATTCGACATTGTGATTTCTGTCAAATTTTGTTTTTTTCGAGGGTACATTGTTACGAATCCATTTAGCTACTGCATATTCTTCCTTAGATGGCTTTTCTTGAACGACTTCATTGTCTATGTTTGATATTTCCTGCTACAAAAGATTAAATTAATTTTAATCATTTCCATAATATTTTGTGAATATTTCATTAATACATATAAATTATACTTGATACTGATTCTTTTTTTCTTATTACACATTAAAAATTATATGAAACGTTGAATTCAATTGTAATTCTTCACGTCATATAAAAGAAACAAAACATTCAAAGTTTAGGCGGTACAGATGGTAATCGAAATTAACCGGAATACGATTAAAATAATCGTCAAATTTCTATATAAAGAAACCATTTAGGATGAATAATAGATTTCCATGAAAAGCGAATGAAAGTAGTTTATTAGATAATAAATTAATTATATAATTAAAATTAATTCACGAATTTTGAACAGTGTGAAAATTAGTTGTTTGCTACGTCATCCGTTGGACTAGGTTGCAATACTTATTCATGACATGTAGTTCGAACTGGTAAAACAAAATGAATATAACATAAAATCAAATATTATAATTCCAGTCACCAAATAAACACCAAGATTCACATATACTGTCGACTAATATTGTGATAATTGCACCCATATGCGATGCTTACATCTTTGCGCTTCCTGCTTTTCCTACGTTCCGCCATGTTGTAAATTCTGTTTTGCGCTTGCGCGTTTTAACCTTATCTATTCATTAGCAGAAGCAACAAACGTGGCATGTGCTTCTGCGTAACATGTCAACTGCTTAAGCCGGCTATTTAAATATGTATGCATATTGTTCATTTAAAAAAATGACATAAATAAATTATTAAATACATTAATGACTTTAACATTATCTTTGCTAATATTTCATGTATGTTTAATAATGTTCAAAAACGTATATTATAATGTTGCTTTTAATATATCGATTTGCAAATTGTAAAGATATTTTTTCGGCATAACTTTTACATAAAAGATCGTTTTTATGTGCATTCGAGTAGCTTGTAGTTTTTTTTTACTACTACTATTCGTATGTAATATTACGTAAATGACGGAAAAACTTCAATTATTACAAAAATTTTCAAAATGAGTTTCATGTAACACGAGAACGAACGTTTGAAATATAAAATATATAAAGTATGTCAACATAATGTACTTTTTTGAACGTATTGGAAAATAGAAACATTTTTTTCTATTCCTACGTATTTGTAGGCACAATTCTACGTGAAGTTAGCTGTTAACGAGATGAAAATTGCATGGTCAGTTGTTGCCATACGTGGGATAGAATTTATAACACTAACTGCACTACAGATAAAAGCATCATCCAGTTATCCATTAACCTACAAAAGTGAACGTCTGTCAAATATATTTCTATTTTGCAAATAAAAAAGATTTATACTGTTGTGAGAGACTTACAACCTTAAAAATGAGTGCACCAATAAGTACAGCAATGGACAATTTAACAGCTGCAATTAGATCGAATATAATTCCAAATCAAGAATACTTATTACAAGGATCTGTGTTGGACAGTGCTGTGGAAGTATTGCTTCACAGATTACGTGGTTTATGTGATAATGTCGACACAGGACCAGAAACCTTTAATGACCACGAAATGTGTTTCAGTATCAGGTATATAAGATAATTTTAAAGGTTATTAGAAATATCTTATTGTTTATAAATTCATATGATTATAATGCTGTATGTTTTAGAGGAGCTGAACAACCATTACTTTTACGTGTAAGAAGGGCTTTAGATTATCAAGATATGCCTTGGCAGTTACGTTACATTGGTCAACCCGAATTGGGTGACAAATCAAGACCTACAATCGTTAGAAGCAGTTTAGACATAGCAACTAGTAATACAGTTGTTGATTTTCTAACAGAGCTTGGATGTAGGCTAGATTTTGAATATATTGCACGTGGCTATATGTTCCGCAAGGGTAGAATGAAAGTGACAGTTTCCAAAATATTTAAAATGGGTCAACAAGGAAAAATACCTGAGAGTATGGAAGCGATATCACAAAGTTACTTAGTAGAACTGAGTGTTTTAGCACCTAGTGGCCAGGATGCAATAGCAGAAGATATGAGGATTTTTGCAGAACAATTGAAACCCTTGGTACAACTTGAAAAAATCGACTACAAAAGATTTGTTCATTAACATAAAAAGTATAAATTGCATTTTTGCAACTTGTATCAATTGTATTTGTGTAAATCTTTTTTGTAGTATAATTGTATATATAATGTGATTTTTTGTAATTTAAGTTATATAAGAAATAAACATTTTTATATTTTCCATAAGTTATTGTATATACTATAAATTTAATTATTGTACTAATCGTATATCGACTAATATACGACGTCCATCATGTATATATATATATATATATATCACACATCTGTGCATAAAAAGATGCGTATACATATGTATGAGTATGATGCTCTATTGTCCATACTATGTGAGTCAATACAGAGTACTTATCGATTTTCATGCAATGTTATTTGACATTATCTTTTTTCTTAAATAAATAATTAAAAATCGTTTCTTGTTAAAACTGTACGTTACTGTTTAGTGTCGTTAAAGTATAATAGCTTTGTTAAAGTACAATAATTACAATAAATTTATCATTAAAATTAAAATGAATATATTGTATTAATAATCCAAATATTATTGAAATTAACTGACATTTTGAAGGCAGAGTTTAATAAACATAAAGAATGTAATTTTTAAATATTGTTACAATAATGCTTATGCAGCAATAAACTTTCATTTGATTAGAAAGTAGAAACAGTATGCAGCAATGCCATCTTAGAAAGGAGGCCACGGAAGAAGATTAACGCTACATACGCCACCATTTTGTGGGCATTTCTACTTGTGCTGTTCGTCAGTGAGGTTCTGTGTATTGCCAGACTAAAAAATTTGCTTAATACACTTCAAATGTAAGTAGAATATAATATTTTGTCAAAAAATAATATACAGTTGATTAGTTGTATTTATTTGGAAAAATATCGCGAGTAAATAAGAAAATCGCTTAAAAATTTCCATGGCGTCGGTTTCTGTTCCGACAGATACTAATCTTTTTTCGTAATTGTATATTTATACGAATGAAATTTCAAGCGAAATAACAGTAGTGCGTAACAATAGTGTTTCGAATAACATAAGAAATCTATTTTTCTTTTTTAATAAATTCAGATTGAAATTAGCATAATTAGCCATCGTTACTGCAGTTAAATTGAGAGCACAACATGGCGGTATATACCGACTTTCCCTTTTCAGTATAATCGGTCGAGCTACGACTAACTTGACTGCAGATTATTGAGCTTATTATGTAAGATTAACTTAATTATGAAGTTTACATGTTGAAAAGCGTACGTCGCTTTTGTGCTGTGAATATTATATATGGTATTATTTTCGTCGCCGGTCGATATTTTCTGGGTATAGGTAAACTGACAGTGGGTGTTGATTTATTTCCATAGGCTATTATCCAATTCAATATTCAATGAATTAAACACGTAGTAACCGTTTATTACGTTTAATCTTCGGAACACACGTACTTGAATATCAATTTATTGACTGAAATTTATGTTGATGTTAACGAGAAGAAATTCGTCATTTACAGAATGTCACGTTATCGTGAGTGGGATCCCTCATGTAAGGTTTATGTTGGAAATTTAGGGAATAGTGCTAGTAAACATGAAATTGAAAGTGCATTCAGTAAATATGGCCCTCTAAGGAATGTATGGGTTGCCAGAAAGCCACCTGGATTTGCTTTTGTAGAATTTGAAGACCCACGTGATGCAGAAGATGCAGTCAGAGGTCTAGATGGAACGTGAGTATATGATAATCAACGTGTAACAATAGTTTTATAAACTTTAATAATAAGAATCATTGCATTTTCTTCTTTCTTAGACGCTGTTGTGGAACCAGAGTGAGAGTAGAGATGTCTTCAGGAAGAAGTAGACGTGGAGGTGGGAGGAGATCAGGTCCAAGATATTCCAGGTAAGAAATCTTAAAGTATTGAATATCCATATTTTACAGCAACGTTTGAGCTGCTGCAGATGGCTAAGTGTCTCGCCAAGTAGGTATTACAGTGCAGTTATCAAATAAGAATGATAAAAGAAACGATGCACGGGTTTCGGTGAACTTTCTTTTATGCACAGAGGATGTAAATTTATATTTTTTTTATTTATTTTATATAGGAATGCAAATAGAACATATTGTATACTATATTTATTTGATCTTATCGCTCTTCTGGCTAGTACTCTTACATAAATTAAAAATTAATGATTTGATAAATTAAAATAGGGTAAATTAAAATAGGACCTAAAATTAGTCTAAAAATTTAAAAAAAAAAGAGGTAAAGGAAAATATACTTTGACCATTATGAAATATTTCTATGCAAAATGTGAAAATTTGCGAGGTTAGCCGAAGAGCAACCAAAGACATTGCATGGGAAACCTAAACGGGAGATGCTAGGGCAAATTTTTAGTTATGGCAGAAGTAGCTATTTCATATATAGCTCATTTTTTTTCCCATTGTAATCTCCTTGTGAATATGCTTGGCGAACAACAGGATTCACATACCATATATTTTTTGACAAACTTATAGGTCCAGATCTTGCAGTCCTCGAAGGAGATCACTGGGTCGTTATCCAAGGTAAGACTTCCCTACCCCCGTTAACCGTAATTTTCAGGTGCGAGTAGGCAAAAGAAACTAATCAAAGCGAAACATGGCGATCGGCAACATATGAGCAGTCTGAAACATACAACAGTTTTTCTTAATTTTTTTTAGGTCCTGGTCAAGAAGTCCACGCAGATCGCCGATAAGCCGATATTCCAGGTAATCACCTCTTGTTTTATAATTTTCTTAAATTTTCAGGGCCTTACCAAGCACAGCCAATCTACAAATTGCAAGTAGGTATTTTACAAGTACCGCTTGTATTGTGATCATCGCAATTTTGCACGCAGAATCACAATATATCATATAAAACATATAGAGTATTTCTATTCGAAATGTATTGAACACTGAGAATTGCGTAATTGTCACGATCGGCGGTCAAATATTGTTAATTGATTGGCATAAGTTGGAGAGGACAGGACTAAAAGGATAGATAGACGGAAGACGAAGGAATAACTTGAGAAAAAACGGAAAAATCGAAATTTTGGTGTCAAGAATTAGTTGGCAACTACGACGCTAGTTTGGTGCAAAAGAAGCACCGGTGACAAAATAGAAGTAAATCATAGCGGTGTCTGGTGTTAATTTGACCAACTTAAAGCAATTTATTTTCTAATGCTTATTATCGTCTTATACGAAATTTTATTTTGTAAGTGCCTGAAGTTAAGTTATTCGGTATCTGAAACTAAGTAATTTCTAAGTATGTAGAAATTATTTAATAAATAGTTGTAATTAAATCGTTTTTATTTGAGAAATTTTTTTGCGTGTTCAGATACCGAATGAAGTAGAAGTTAAATATTGAATTTAATTGAATTGTTCGTCATATAGTTAGAGATATTAGTGCTGGAATTCATTAACGTGCAAATATCTGAGATGCACTTCGTATCTTAATCACATTTATTTATCGTATACGCATCGAGGCAGCTTTTCATTGATTGCATCAATTATTTCCGGTATATTAGCTTTAAAAAACTTGAAATTTTTTATTTTATTAAAAAAAAATATATGTATAGTGTACTGCAACTATGCGTTGCGATAAGTATATAAAAGATAAGTTGAAACTATACATTCATCATATAAGTTTAATCAAATCAATTACAAGTAGAGTCTTTTGTACGCATTAGAGTGGGCAGTCTAGGATAATCGTAACGAAACTGTATCACTGACGAGTGAAACATATGCAATTTTGTTGAATTTGGATTAAGGAAAAAAAAAAAGCTCGTGTGTACCAATAGTGGCCAGGAGTATGATAACTTTGATGGTTATATTGCTAAAACTGACGTTTGCAGATTCTACCAGCGTCAGCTCCTAGCTCTGCTCGTCTCCCCGCCACTACTACTACTACTGCTACTACTACTACTACAGCCACCGTGAAAAAAAGTCTAGCAATCAAAACTGAACAAAAAAAAAGCCTGCCTGCCCACTAACTTCCCAACCAGTCACCATCAGTCACCACCAGTCACCGGTAGGAGCCAAGTCGTCCGTCAGTTGACAGTCCGATGCTGTCCGTCAGTCCGTCTGTTCCCCTTCAAAAAGACTTCTTCGGGCTACCTCAACCTCTAGCGGCTAGGAGCATCGTGAATCCATCGAACAGCCGACGCGATATGAACGAATACTTCTGTCAAAATCTCGGCGCGTCAGTCCGTCCGTCCGTCCCAACTTCTACTACTACTACTACTACTACTACTGCTACTACTACTACTACTACTACTACTCGTCAACCATCACGTTAAACTTAGCCGACAACGCGACCGCCACTTCTCTTCGACTGAGCAAAGCAAAATGATCACCACCTACACACCATCCCACCACCACCCAACCAAGTACCACCACCACCAACCACCACTACATGTTCACAGTTGTCTGGTATTTCACCGATTTTCAAAGATTTTTTATCTTTTTTTCTTTTTTTTGTTCTTTTTTTTTCTTTTTTTTTTTTTCAAATCTAATTGATGGTGTCACGTTCTCTGCGGTCCAATGACAATTTCTATTAATTAATTATGTTTATTCAACAGATTTTTAGCCAGCGAAATAGAAGACACTGATTAACGTTTTTTCTTTTTAATTATTTTAGTGCTTAGTCAGTTGGACCAGGGAACTGCCGCCCATTACATAATATGTATTTTATCAGGATATATATATATATATATATATATATATATATATATATATATTTATACATATACATATATTTACATATATATCCGTAACAGTTGTAAAAATTTGATTTTAACTAAATTAATCCTACTTTCGTTTATTGGTTTCTCATTATTGGTGAGATGTCATTTTATATTAATTATTGTGTCTAACTAGTTTTATCACCCCTTAGGCAAATAGGAATTAGCCAGTCCTAATTCTATTACGGTTGCCTTGCGATCATTTTCGTACCTATGTGTTTGACGCATGACGTTCTGTTTCGTCTCATATGTATCATTCAATATAACTATGTTTTATTTTATATATACTATATGGTCATATTTCAACGCGTGATTTAGACGCCACATTTTATAGAAAATTAATGTCACGTTAACGATGATGGCACGAAATTTGGGACGAAGTAGAAAGCCGTGTATTAATAAATTGTTCTCCCAAACTTTAGTAAAAGTGGTATAAAATGGCTTTTTAATATTTTAGGTCAAAGTCCCGTAGCCCTCGCAGGAGATCGTTGAGCCGTAGCCGCAGCCGAGACCGCCGTTCTCGTTCGGATTCCCGTGACAGACGGTACTAATATTACCACAAATTAGAAACAAATTAAAAAAAAGGAAAAGAAAGATATACGTACAGAAAAGAAGCAGACGTCGAATCTTGCATTTACAGCGCAACGTAAAAGAAATTATCGTATGTACTTTTATACTGTTCAACTTGTGAAACTCGAAATTCAGACGAAAGAAACTCGTAAATTTAGAATTCTCTGTACACTCTTTGACTATAAACGAAGTATCAGTTTGTTGTTTTCGGATCATTCTGTGTGCATTGAGCATTCTGAAATAATAGCCGTAGTTGCAAGAATTCGTCTATTCTATTCTCTTTGTACTGAAATTCTCCAAACGACGATATAGCGAAATTAAATCCGGAGGATCGAGCGTACATTTTCTCTATTTACTTACAGTTAGGTGCTAAAAGTGAGAGAACGGACCGACTAAGTGTGCCGGATGGAAGACAAAAAACCGATTTTATATGTACATAAGAAAAAAAAGAAAAAAAAAAAGGAAGAAAAGCTAAACGTCACCACCCGTACATACATGGACGAAGCAATGATAGAGTAAAAAATATTCATAAAAGATTATGAAACAAACACGTTCACAATGTCTAGTGTTTCAGTTAACTTTGTACACGCATAAGATTACTTCACATAAGGGCGTAACAGTTAATTAAACATATATGTACACAGAGGTGTATGAGAAGGCGACTATACATCTCTGCACAACACGTTTGAAACACCCGCGTACACGTTATACCACGTTATATATTTTGATGCTTTTTTACACGCATACAAAATTTTTTGTGACGCGAGCTGCTGTTTGGTACGATGGATTTCTTACGGAACGTGCTCATTGCTTCAAAATGTACGAGTGAGGTAAAACAAAAAATTCGGTTACAATTGAGGACAATTATAACGATAAGTATGACAATGAGGCATTTTTGGTGTGAAGTTCATTGAAAAGTAGAAAAAACGGTCGTTTTATGTTGTATTAATTATTTTGTACTCTTACGAACTTAAGACTTTAAAATAAAAGTGTATGGTATAATTGTTTTGGCTTACCTATTGCGAATAGCAGTTTGATGTTCATTAATAGGAATTAATAAAATACTGAAGTAATAGTATACCGGTGTTGGATATATTTTATACTTCTTGTCCCGTTTTAAACGTTCAGTTAAAAAAGGAAAAAAAAATTGGTCACATACACACGTTGAAATTATGTTTCGGCTTGAATTACTTTCCTCGTTAAATTATTGATTGGACGCGATAAATTCTTAGACGTAAGACACATTGCCGAAAGGGAGCGTACATAATCGAACACCTTGTTGACAAAGATGATAATCTCTTATGGGCAAAGCAAGGTTTTCGTCCAGGAGCTTTAAAATTTCCAAATAAAATTTTAACGCTTCTTGGTGTTTTCCCTCCTCGAGTTTTCTGGAAGCTGTTTTAAAAATGACGTCTGTATCTTGCAGAGCTTTTAAACCTTTGAAAATATTCATGTTCCTGCCACATTTTGGACATCTGATCATAAATTCGTTTGTGTCTGTTTTTATAGGTAGAACGTTTCCACATACTCTTCCGGACTCGCATTTAAATCTGAAAACAAAATTGAAGACATTTGGTGTTTCTAATATTCTCGGTTACAAACGGTTAAAAACTCTCCGAGTGTTGAGCAATTGTATTCAAATAACCGTAGAACGGTCTGATCGATTTCTTCTAAAATGGGCCAATGTGCTGCACACGCTTCACAATTGCAATCGAACCAATATTGTAATCTCAGTTTCCTTTTCCGTTCAGCTTCCGGGGAAGTTGCAAAAATCGGCCCGTAGTTCTCGGAGACTTCCTCTCCTGATGGAATAGAGCGTATTGCCCGTACAACCATAGTGGTGCCGACAAAGTACCTATAGTACACCCAGTGATGATTATTTGCAACTTACTATCTGGTAATTACTATTTCAGTTATTAAATCATGGATTATTATCGTGTGTTACATTGATATTCATAGTTCACTTTTTACCTGATGACGCCAGGATTGCACGAGTGATTGAACAGCGATATCGTCGGGTAAAGTCCTCCACCGATAAATTTGTTTTTAGCTTTCGCTAGGGTGTTGTTGCCTTTTGGTATAGCGAGTTCTGATATCTGAGATTGTAACGCGAGCGAATGCATAAAACAAAGCACACCGAATCTTTGTTAGAAGAAAGAAGGATCATACAACTTACTTCGTGAGCGTTGAACTGTATTATCATTAGATTATGAAGAATCAAACCTCCTATGTATAACTCGCCGTCGGAGGGTTTCCCTTTTGCTGTATCTGGGGTTTTCACAGTTTCTGGAAAGTAGGGGCTTGTCTTCAAAAGTCTCAATAGCCAACTGGCTATGTAGGTTCTGTGGAAAATATCCTCCGGCGTTCTTTTATCCGCGTGCATTACTGTACGAAGGGAAAATATGTAAACGTGCCAAGAAATTACGATTATGTCGGCTTTAGCCCATCGAAAGACTTTCATTTCAATTTCTGTGTTCTGTAAGTACCTAATCCATAGATAGTTTCAACGTCGTCTGTCCGATAGGGCCGCTGTGCCGAGATCTCTACTCTACCCTTCGAAGTTTCTAGCTTGTCTTTGAGTTTCAATAATTCGTCAAAGGGTCGCTGAATGATCGCCTTCAAGGCTAAGAAACAGTTTACAGAGGTATTCGAGGCCCACAAGCTGGGTAATGTCGTGCACTCGTTCACGTGGGTCTTGGCATCCTTGTTCCTGCAGGCAACACTGCAGTAAGCCACGCAGTTGCACGTTTCGCAGATAGTTGGCATCGGCACGAATATCTTGGTGAAACAGTAGTAACAATTTGTGAGTCTGGAACGAAATTATTTTGACGTTAATATCAAGTGAGTTTGGGTGGAATTTTCTGTACAGGATGGAAAGGTATCATAGATGAATCGTACACCTTCAGTTTGACGGAGAAGCGTGTAAAGATCGTGCAAAATTGAATTTCAAAGTCAACAAAATTTCTTTTTTTTTTTTTTGCAGTATTGTGTTATACTTATCGCGAAGGTAAAACTTTTCCAAGGAACCATAGGTCACTAATTCAATTTGCAACTCGCAAACCGCAAAAAGTTCCTTGACCATTTAGGACGCGTGCGTTCTAACAGCGACTTTATATGATTGCAGACGCGTGGATGTTTGCATTACGTTTTATACTATAATATTTATATTTCAAATAACTAACAGTTAGTTTGATCATTTGATTATGTAGACTCGCACCGATACCGGCAACTATGGCGAATGAAACGTTAGTGAAACTTAATCCAGAACCGTAAAGCCGCTGTTAGAACGCTGAAACTTTTTTTCTCCATTTTTCAAGAGTACTATCAGAACTATTGCGATCCATGGTTTACCTTCGTGATGAGTAGAACACAATGCAAAAAAGAAAAGAAAAAATTCTTTTTTTTTTGACCTTGAAATTCATCTATGATAGCCACGGACAAACTTTCTTCTTTCCACCCTGTACATACAAGTCACTCGATGATTAAACGCACCTATATTCGGATAACAAGGCAGCGCAATACGGTTTTTCTATCGCTAGTATCTCGCCAGGCTCGATGTCCTTGGTAGCAACGGCGTGTCTACCAATGCTACCGCCTTCGTCTCTAATTTCGATCGCTTTGCTACACGAAGGATACAATTGATTGCAGTCGTCGATCTTTGGCGTCGTTCTCTTCGACTCGCCGATTTTCCCTTGTTGAGGAATCTTCGGCGTCTTCTGCGCCAATTGGTTACCCTTGTCTATCACAGCAAGCATAACTCTGATGTCTGCTTCGAGCTTCTGTTTTTTGTCCAATGTTAATTTCGCTGTGTCCAACGCTTGCAGAGCGTTTCTGAATGCCAGCACAGCCTCGTCGTGCCTTTTCAACCCGAGCAAACATCTGGCGCGTCTTTCTTCAATCTTGTACAACAGTTCCTGCGGGTATCCCACGCGCAAAGCTTCTTCCGCGTCTGTCAGACCGTAGTTGTACTTCTCCAGGTGGTAAAGCGTTGCCGAACGATTCGCCAATATAACGCCTAAATCTGTAATACAGTTTAATTTCGAATGATTGCATCGAGACTCCAGACTTTTTCTGCTCGAGTAACCGAGTTAAGTGAGAAATTTGTCAATGTAACACCTAAATCTTGGGGACAGGTTCACAATTTAATTTCATCGTTAATTTAGTTTGATTTGGTTTGGTTTGGTTTGGTTTAGTTTCGAATGATTATATCGAGATTTGAGATAATTTTTCTACTCGAGTTAAGTTAGATTTGAAATGATTTTTCTGTTCGAATTAAGTTAGAAATTTGTCAATATAACACCTAAATCTGGGGAATAGCTTGACAATTTAATTTCATCGTTAATTTAGTTTGATTTGGTTTGGTTTGGTTTAATTTAGTTTCGAATGATTATATCGAGATTTGAGATAATTTTTCTGCTCGAGTGAAGTTAGAAATTTGTCAGTATAACACCTAAATATGGGGGACAGCTTGATAATTTAATTTCATCGTTAATTTAGTTTGGTTTGGTTTGGTTTGGTTTGGTTTAGTTTCGAATGATTATATCGAGATTTGAGATCATTTTTCTGCTCTAGTTAAGTTAGAAATTTGTCAATATAACACCTAAATCTGGGGAATAGCTTGACAATTTAATTTCATCGTTAATTTAATTTAATTTAGTTTGGTTTGGTTTGGTTTAGTTTAGTTTCGAATGATTATATCGAGATTTGAGATAATTTTTCTGCTCGAGTTAAGTTAGAAATTTGTCAATATAACACCTAAATATGGGGGACAGCTTGATAATTTAATTTCATCGTTAATTTAGTTTGGTTTGGTTTGGTTTGGTTTAGTTTCGAATGATTATACCGAGATTTGAGATAATTTTTCTACTCGAGTTAAGTTAGAAATTTGTCAATATAACACCTAAATCTGGGGAATAGCTTGACAATTTAATTTCATCGTTAATTTAGTTTGGTTTGGTTTGGTTTGGTTTAGTTTCGAATGATTATATCGAGATTTGAGATAATTTTTCTGCTCGAGTTAAGTTAGAAATTTGTCAATATAACACCGAAATCTGAGGAATAGCTTGACAATTTAATTTCATCGTTAATTTAGTTTAATTTAGTTTGGTTTGGTTTGGTTTGGTTTAGTTTCGAATGATTATATCGAGATTTGAGATGATTTTTCTGTTCGAATTAAGTTAGAAATTTGTCAATATAACACCTAGATCTGGGGGACATCTTCAGAATTTAATTTCATCGTTAATTTAGTTTAGTTTGGTTTAGTTTGGTTTCGAATGATTATATCGAGATATGAAATCATTTTTCTGCTCGAGTTAAGTTAGAAATTTATCAATGTAACACCTAAATCTGTCGGACAGTTTGACAATTTAATTTCATCGTTAATTCAGTTTAGTCTAGCTCAAACCTGTGATTACACCCGAGTCACACTTTGAAACACACAATTCTATATTCTTCTCATTGTAAAATTGGCACGCGACGACTCGGACAACGTTAGATTACAGAATAATTTACGTTGTGATTCACTTTGAAGGGGACCCAAGATTTTTTTCAAAACCTGATGAATCTTTTGAAATCCGAACACTTTTGGACAGTGTGGAGGATCGTCGATTACGTTACCTTTCCGTGGAGCCAGTAGAACCGCGTTCGAGTAAGTTTCCAACGCTTTGAGAAATTCACCGCGGCCGAAGTACCTGTTGCCGATGTCTTTCAATTGCAGAGCCTTCCTCCCGTTCTTCAGCATCTCGGCGTTCTCGGCGACTTGCACTGGCAAATCGTACATCAGCGGACAACGTAGCAGGAAACCGATCCTCTCCGAATTGTCGTTCGAGGATAGGAATCTCTTCATATCATGCGGAGTGACCGTCTTTTGGAGCGCCAGGAAATTCGAGCGGAAGTAATCGCTCACCTCGTCGTCGTCCATTTTCTTTTTTCCACACACTTTCTGTACTTCGACGTTTTAGTTTTACGAGTGACTGATTCGCTGCACTGCTTTCTCTTTTATAGTGTTCACATGGCTCGGGAGAAGAAAGGACGTTGACCAACGATTTTTCAGAAAGATTTTCCACTTCTTTGGTGACACGCAATTTGATTGGCAATGTTGCACTCGAGTGTAAACACGTTGCCGGTCGACGATAGTCGAAGCTACTGGATATCGTCCAAACATCCGAAAACCTCATCTATTCCCGTACGTGCTATTTCTAGTGCTACTCTAGAGTTTGTGTGCGATGCAACGAGGATATGCAACACAGGCATGTTCGATGGCAGGTTGATTAGGGAATTTAATGGTTCTAATCTGTTTTACAAGCAGCAGAATCCTTTGGTTGAAACTTGTTGGGATTAACGTAGACCATCGATATTACTACTACGGAGTTGTTTGGACTTGACGAAAATAAATAATTTACACACGTACAGCGTATGCGATATAAACCATATATTTATATGTGGTTGTTGTTGCAAGTTTGCAATTTAAGTACATACATATGTACAGAGATTTACAAAATATCGATATCGAAATGTACTTTGAAAAGCATCGATCGGTTAATTTGAAAACGCATTTTGTAAATCATTCGGACGAATGCTGATTGGGCTATCGATGATTTTAAAGTGCGTTAATTCTAATGGTACGATGAATACTAAGCGATGATTACTTTGTTAATTGTACTATTAACGATAACAAAGTTTGCTCTCGTCAAAGTTCTTTCTTCGAATCGCGAATCGTGTATGTATCTCCCCGTTAATAAGAAAATATTGACAGTTGGTTGTTAATCAGATGTTTCGAAAATTATTTGCGATAAATTTTAATTGACATGTACTGTTTGAAAAGAGTGTCATTAGGGGGAAATGCAAAAGAACTCAAGTGCATAGATATACATATATATATATATATATATATATATATATATACCCTGTCTCGTCAATTATGAGTAACATGTAAAAACGAAACGAGAAAAGAGAATTTTAAAATAGCTAAACGGCTAATTGTACTAGAAAATACTCGTTAAAAAGATCTGCACGACGAACAAGCGGAAACGTTCGTTCCTCTCTAAATTGTAGTTTGAAAGAATCGAATCTTTCTCCTTCGCGAGAAGCACCATTCTTCCTATATACGTCTAAGTACATAACACGCAGTAGATTTCCCTCCAGCATATAATACATAATCAACGTCGACATAATCATTTCCCTTGCTTTTTACCGCGACGACACAAGGAATACGGTATTTACATTCGGCTCTTCGTCGTTGATCTGTTTCTCAAAAGTCGTAAGAGGCCTCGTCGTCCTTCTGTCTCTGTCTGAACGCCAATTTGTACAGTCCACCGGCGGCGCAGCCTCCGAGGATCGGCCCGACCCAGTAAATCCACTGATTGTGCCATTTACCCTGGACGATCGCCGGACCCAGCGACCTGGCTGGGTTCATGCTGCTCCCTGTAACCGGCACCGCAGCCATGTGAGCCACGGTGATGGTCAAACCGATTGCCAGGGGCGCCCATCCTTTCGTGTCGGTCCTCTTCGGATCGGTCACCGCGTGGACAACCAAAAGCAGCAGGAACGTAACGATCGCCTCCATGAAGATACCTTGGATCTCGTTGACCCACGAGCCGAGATCTGTCACGCCCAGCCCCTTGTTCGTCGCCTCGGTTGGGATCAACAGCTGCAAGAGCACAAAAATTGAAATTTGAATAATGAAAATTCTAAAGGAAATTTGAAGCTGTGAAAATTTAAAGAAACCGTGGAAGTTGACTTTTTTTCTTTTGTGGGACATGGAAGAATTCAATGGGACATTGAAATTAATATGGACTTGAAGTTATTTGTTGGGACACAGCGTGCGACGAGTAATGATTTGTATTGTTTATTGGATGACCAACTAGATAACATTAGCTCGGTGCTGACAAAACCAAAATATCTATTACCTAAATCTATTGTAGGTAATAAGTTTGTAAATGTATCAGTTTCTACGAGAAAGTGAGACGACAATTGTATATTTAATTTGTTAATAACTGATATTGATTAATACTGATGTTATCAAATTTTATATTTAATTTGTTAATACCGATATTGATCATTTACAATATTTTGGTTGTTTCTGTGTCGAAGAACTCGATATTATCAGTATAAGTTTGTAAATATATCAGTTTCTACGTAAAGTGAGACGACAATTGTATACTTATTTTGTTAATAATATTGATTAATACTGATGTTATTAAATTTTATATTTAATTTGTTAATACTGATATTGATCATTTACAATATTTTGGTTGTTTCTGTGTCGAAGCACTCGCTATTATCAATATAAGTTTGCAAATATATCAGTTTCTACGTAAAGTGAGACGACAATTGTATATTTAATTTGTTAATAACTGATATTGATTAATACTGATGTTATCAAATTTTATATTTAATTTGTTAATACTGATATTGATCATTTACAATATTTTGGTTGTTTCTGTGTCGAAGAACTCGATATTATCAGTATAAGTTTGTAAATATATCAGTTTCTACGTAAAGTGAGACGACAATTGTATACTTATTTTGTTAATAATATTGATTAATACTGATGTTATTAAATTTTATATTCAATTTGTTAATACTGATATTGATCATTTACAATATTTTGGTTGTTTCTGTGTCGAAACACTCGATATTATCAGTATTGTGGGTAATAAATTTATAAATATATCAGTTTGCTTATAAAATAAAAAACTTTATATGCAATTTATTAAATTTTATTGAAATTGATAATAAGATTTGCGATGATTTGATTGTTTCTGCACTGAGTAATAGACCTCTGAAAGTATTCTGCGAACAATAAAAAAATTATTACTATTATTATTATTACAAATTATGAAAAGAGAACAGTATTCTTCTCCATCAGGAAGACCTAACATCATCCTTAACCATCCACGGTTACAATGAACTCTCTGAAAGATACAAGTGTTATTCCTTTACGCGGAATTCAACACGTTGGATGAATAATAATTCAAAATCAGCGTTGAATTTACCTTCAAAATTCCCGAGCCAACGATTGCTCCGCAACACTGGCAAACGATGTAGCACAACGCCTTCAGGAAACTGCAGTTTCCACTCACTAGGAGTCCTAGCGACACCGCTGGATTCACGTGGCACCCTGAGATCGGGCCCAATACCTAAAACAAAGACAAATGAATGCAGTCGTTGTTTTCAATAACATTTTTATAACACAAAATTTTTTATTTTTTTTTATAACAAAATTCGTTGCTTTCTATTGTTGTGAGATATTCACTTAATTTTGAAAATGGTCATTTTAAGCTTCAAAAATCATATTTCCTTGTAGGTTACACATAACATTTCAGAGTCATGATAAGTTATTGTCTCACAAGACCAAATATCTCCTGAAATATTTTGTTTAAATATGTAAAGTATAAAAAAATATATATATAGTATAAAAACATTTTTATACAAATACACATGGTATGAAAATATTTTTATGTAAATACACATGGTATGAAAATATTTTTATATAAATATACATGGTATGAAAATATTTTTATGTAAATACACATAATATGAAAATACTTTTATATAAATATACATAGTATCAAAATACTTTTATATAAATATACATAGTATCAAAATACTTTTATATAAATATACATAGTATCAAAATACTTTTATATAAATACACATAGTATCAAAATATTTTTATATAAATATACATAGTATCAAAATACTTTTATATAAATATACATAATATGAAAATATTTTTACATAAATATACATAGTATGAAAATATTTTTACATAAATATACATAGTATAAAAAAATTTTTACATAAATATAAATAGTATAAAAATATTTTTCCATAAATATACATAGTATGAAAATATTTTTATATAAATGTACATAGTATATACATATATTTTTTATACTATGTGTATTTGTATAAAAATATTTTTACATAAATTTACATAGTATAAAAATATTTTTCAATTCATTATTTTTATTCAAACCTTTAAATATCTCGAAACAAGAGATACATGACACTTGGCTTAAAATTGTTCCAAGCGAATGTTACAGATTCGAGTCAACGTTCAATCGAAAAATCCAGCGACGTTTCATCCAGAAATGTCTCGCTTTCTGTTTCTCCAGATCCTGTGGCGAAGCTTGCGTGATTCATTCGAAGCATCGTGATTTCTAGAAACAAGGTAACAAGCAACGCGTGTGCACACGTCATACGAAAAAAAAGACACTCTAAAATCTGTTCGCGAGCGTGGTTTCGCTTCGGAGAAACTGAATTTAATTCTAATTCAAAATTTCACAATTTGTGGAGCATGGCCGACCGGAGCGGCTCGCGCCGCCGATAAAGAGATCTCGAAGTTACCTTTCGCGGCACGAATGATTTCTTAATGACGATATGCGGTGTTCCATATACGTACGTATAGACACACGCGGTGAAATCTGGATTTTTTTTTAATAAAAAAGTAGGTTTAAGATTTTTTTTTTTTTTTGGTCGGTGGATCACTGGTCGCTGAGGTCATCGAGGAATTGTCGCAAATTCGAATTCAAATTTCTCTCAACATCTTCTCGAGGCGTAAACGTTTCTCTTCAAGCCTTTGAAACGCGCGCGCGAAATTTCGAATACATATCTCGCCTGGCAACAGTCGCGATAATATACATGTATATATATTTATATTAATATATTTACATTTATATATTTATATTTGTATTTATATATTTATATTAATATATTTACATTTATATATTTATAATATATATATTTATATTTATATTAATATACTTACATTTATATATTTATAATATATATATTTATATTTATATTAATATACTTACATTTATATATTTATAATATATATATTTATATTTATATTAATATACTTACATTTATATATTTATAATATATATATTTATATTTATATTAATATACTTACATTTATATATTTATAATATATATATTTATATTTATATTAATATACTTACATTTATATATTTATAATATATATATTTANATTAATATATTTACATTTATATATTTATATTTATATTAATATATTTACATTTATATATTTATATTTATATTAATATATTTACATTTATATATTTATATTTATATTAATATATTTACATTTATATATTTATATTTATATTAATATATTTACATTTATATATTTATATTTATATTAATATATTTACATTTATATATTTATATTTATATTAATATATTTACATTTATATATTTATATTTATATTAATATATTTATTATATATATATTTATATTAATTATATATTTATACTTTATAAATATAAATATATATGTATAAATAATATATATATAAATCGAGTGTGCGCACACGCGTTTCTTTGGAAGTACAATGTAAACGACGAGCGAATTTGAGAAACGATGGACGTAACGCGATTGTTTCAACAAATGAGCAAAGAGTTGATGACTTAGAAAACAACCGAATTTCACCGAATCTTTGATATCATATTTCCTCGAAGATCCCAATCGAGAAATCACTCTGCGTTGCGTCGTTCGTGTTAATTTTCAAGTCGACGAAAGATTCACCTTTGTTTCTTCGCGAGCAAATATTGGAACGCGTGCGCGTGCACGTGTACCCGAGTAAAAGTAAATACGTGGCAGACTATTCGGCGTCGGTCAGACACGGCCGGAAACCGGTGTTGTTGTGACAGAGAAAACCAGTTGGAAGAAGCTGGGATTCCGAACGAAGTCGAGGAGCTAGAGTCAAAGTCGCGGGAAGGGAAAAAAGAGGCAGTCAAGATAGAGTCGAGATAGAGAAAGAATTCGAGTATGCATAATTAAAAACAAAGGGCACAGTTCGAAAAGAAAGTGACGGATTGAAAGAATCCTAGGTGTAGGTTAGGTTAGACAACGTCCATTGTGCGTTGGTTTAGGTTAGGTTAGAGCAGAGCAGAGTAGAAATTTTATTGAAAAAAGGAGGGAGAGAACAAGGAAGAGAGGAAAGTGTAGATCTCGAACGAGTATAATTATTAAATTTGAAAAGAAAATGGCAGACTGAAAGAATCCTAGGTGTAGGTCAGGTTAGACAACGTCCACTGTGCGTTGGTTTAGGTTAGGTTAGAGCAGAGCAGAGTAGAAATTTTATTGAAAACAGGAGGAAGAGAACAAGGAAGAGAGGAAAGTGAGAGATCTCGAACGAGTATAATTATTAAATTTGAAAAGAAAATGGCAGACTGAAAGAATCCTAGGTGTAGGTCAGGTTAGACAACGTCCACTGTGCGTTGGTTTAGGTTAGGTTAGAGCGGAGCAGAGTAGAAATTTTATTGAAAAAAGAAGGAGAAAAGAGTGTAGATCTCGAGGGCGCATAATTATTAGAAAGAAGGGGCGCAATTGGAAAAGAAAATGGCAAACTGAAAGAATTCTAGATTTAGGTTAGGTTAGACAACGTCCATTGTGCGTTGGTTTAGGTTAGGTTAGAGCAGGATAAAGTAGAAATGTCGTTGAAGGGGATGAAAGAAGAAGAAGGGAATAGATGCGAGTGTAAATCGGTTGTCTAAATCTCGAGCGCGCGTAATTACAAAAGAGGAGCACAGTTCGAAGGGAAAATGACAAACTGATAGAATCCTATGTTTAAGTTAGGTTAAGTTACAACGTCCACTATGCAACGTTAATAGCATAGGTTTAGGTTAATTTATATATATGTATATATATATATATATATATAAATATATTAATATAATAATTATATAATAATATATATAAAAATATAATAATTATATAATAATATACATATATATGTATGTGTGTTAAATAATTTATATATTATAACCTTATATATATATATAAATTATTTGATAATATATATATAATAATATGATAATTATATAATAATATATGTAATAATATAATAATTATATAATAATATATATAAAAATATAATAATTATNATATATATAAATTATTTAATAATATATATATAATAATATAATAATTATATAATAATATATATAAAAATATAATAATTACATAATAATATACATATATATGTATGTGTGTTAAATAATTTATATATTATAACCTTATATATTTTATATATTATTTATATATTAATTTATATATTATTTATTTATATATTATAACCTTATTATTATATTATTATATTATTTATTTATATATTATATTATATATATATATATATATGTATGTATATGTGTTAAATAATTTATATATTATAACCTTAGAGCAGGGCAAAGTAGAAATTTTGTAGAAAAAAGGAGGAAAAGAACAGAAGAAGGGGGAAGGATGTTAAGTGTAAATCGATGACCGTCTAGGTCGGGTGGCTGGGTGGATTTGAGTCCCGTAGAGTTTCGAGACGGGCTCATGAAGGTGGGCCATGGCGCGGCGCGACGCGACGCGACGCGGCCCAGTTCTCATGCACGCCGGCAAGGTCTCGGTTCGCCCCGGGCGATCGGTACATATCGTCGACCAGTTGCTTTTGCGATTACGCAACTCATCTTCTCGGATCTTGTGCTTTCCCCCGCCGCTCTTCTTCTCGTCGTTACTGTTGTTGTTGTTCTTATTCCTCCTTTTCGTCTTGATTGGCCGGGACTAGCCACGTTGTTTATTTGCACGTTGCACAAATTGTCTCCAAGCGGGCGCGGTGCTTCGAGCAAAGATCAAACGGCGAGATATCGACTAATTGGTTTTATTAATTACACGACCGGGGACAACTGGCTTTTAATCGAGAACGCGAACGGTAATTGGTAAGGATCGTGGGTCTCTCGCTTGCAGAAGCGAGAGTTCTCGCGTTTAAAAAACGCGCCAGAGAGTTAATTTTGATTTTTTGAAAAAATCGTCTCATTCTGTGCGATTTTAACCTCTCTTGCAATTAGATGTGAATGACGAATTAACTCTCGTATCGTGAAGAAACGATGGCAATTTTTTGAAAATGATTTTTAATACGGCGAGTATACTTTCTTCTACTCTGCGAGGGAAATAAATACAATTTGTTACTTGAATTAAATTTCTCGTGGAAAGTGAAACGTATCTGTAAGTCTTAAACATTTCAGAATATTTCGAGACTAGACTTTACTAATTCTTTTTACTAAATATTTTCTTGCCATTAATTTTATTACTAATATTAATTATTAATTAAGTTAAACAATAAAA